ATTGTGGATTTTTTTTTTTTTTTTTTTTTTTTTCAACACCATAAAAATATGACGTATTGTCGTACTTACCGATTTTTCGGTGATAAAAAAAACCAACGATCTCGATCCTACACGTGTTTTTCGAACTGTGAGGTTAATCCCCTGTACAATACTGGGGGCACTTTCGTTTTTGTGATGTATACGCGTTATTTTGTCTGCGAAAACGCGCTTTCGTGTGTATACCGATTCCGATGATCCGCACACACACCCGACGAGTGTGTGGTGCAAAAAATCGTGCAACGATCAGAGGAAGGTATACCGATCGGAAACAACCGCGGCGAAAACACATATATGTAATGTTAATCAAATCGAATCGCTATTACCGCGTGTGTAAACACCCTGCGTATACGAGAGCTGTCGACTCCGAAATATATTTCTTCCTCCTTCGACTGTACCTTATGCCTACAAGTGATGCTGATATTTCGTGCTCACGTGATATACGGCTCACGTGTTGCACGTCCGTGTATTATATACACGCACATTGTACCCATTAGGGTAGGGGAAGTTTAAAAACTCGTTTTGGGACTTGAGAATGTGGATGCACACGAGTACGGGAATATTGGAGTAAGCGGAGCAAACCATGACAAGTGTAAATTATATATCCTTTTGCGATAAGCAAAAATAACAATTGGATCATTGTTTCGATTCGTCCGTATGGCAAATAAACAAACAAATGTATGAATGATGGGGCAAAAATTTCAGAATACAATTTGGGCGAGGTGATCATCGAGGGCAAGACCAAGAAGGTGTTTGCGCTCAAGGACGAGCCGAAGCTGTGCTACCTGGAGAGCAAGGACCGTATAACCGCCGGGGATGGAGTCAAGTCGCACGAGCTCGAGGGTAAGGCCGCGATCAGCAACGCCACGAACGCCAAAGTGTTTGAGCTGCTCAACAAAGTTGGCCTCAAGACCGCCTTTGTCAAGGTGGCCGGCGACAGAGCTTTCATCTCCAAGAGGTGCGAGATGGTGCCCATCGAGTGGGTGACCCGTAGACTCGCCACTGGCAGCTTTCTCAAGAGGAATCCAGGTTCGTTGATGCCCAACTTTTTGTCCTCGATGCGGAAAAAAAAAAATAAATAAATGGAAAAAAATCGGTTTGTTCGTTACCGATCGCAGGGATCGAGGAGGGCTACAGGTTCGCTCCGGTCAAGCAGGAGACGTTTTTCAAGGACGACGCGAATCACGACCCACAGTGGTCCGAGGAGCAGATCATCTCGGCTGGTTTCAAGCTCAACGGCGTGACGATCGGTAAGAGCGAGTACGACGTCATGTACGAGACTACGCGAGTCGTGTTCGAGGTGCTCGAGCGGGCCTGGGCAACGCGGGATTGCGTGCTCGTCGACATGAAGATCGAGTTTGGTGTCGACACCGATGGGGAGATACTCGTCGCCGATATCATCGACAGCGATTCCTGGAGGCTCTGGCCCAGCGGCGACAAAAGGCTCATGAAGGACAAGCAGGTGCTCCATATAGTCGTTTAGAGATCGTTCATCAAAAAACGCCGGTTTATCGTGATAATGTTGATAATGTCGTTTCTGCAGGTCTACAGAAATCTGTCGACGGTAACGCAATCCGACCTCGAGACTGTCAAGCGCAATTTCAAATGGGTGGCCGATCAGCTAGACTATCTGGTGCCAGAGCCGCACGCGCTCGTCGTGATTTTTATGGGCTCGCCGAGCGACGAGGAGCATTGCCAGAAAATTGCCAAATACGCGCGAGCTCTCGGCTGCCAAGCTCAATTGCGCGTCACCAGCGCACACAAGGGCACCCGGGAGACTCTCCGCATTGCCGCCGAGTACGAGAGCACCGGCCAGAGGGTAAGTGGTTTTTTAAAAAAATTAGTCGATTACGCGATCTACTTGCGCAATTGCGTTGTTGTTACCGAGTAGTTTCATAATTTTCGAGCTGCAAAAACAGGGTTAATCGCAAAGTTTGTGCTTGTGCAACGTAAATAGCTTTTTTTTTTAAGCTTGATCTCGTTTTTCTCGTCACGATATCAGTGTTGACTTTAGCCCTGTTTCGAACGCACGTATGCGCAATTATCAGTGAAAAAGAAAAAAAAGAAACAGAGTTACGATAAACAAAGTAACCAAAAGTCAAATATTGAGGGTAAAAACACAAGCTGCGCTATCGTATCTCTTTTTTTTTTTTTTACTTGTTTCACACATCTCTTGAATTTTCTGCCACTTAGTGCTTGTACTGTAGGTGGTACTGGTGGCAGTAGCCGGTAGAAGCAACGGCCTGGGCCCAGTACTCTCAGGCAATTGCACATTGCCTGTTATCAATTGCCCGCCCGGTAATTCTGCAGATGTTGCCCAAGACGTCTGGTCGTCGCTGAAAGTGCCTTCAGGTAGGTTATAGCTTGTTGATTGTTATTCGAATATTGGTTAATGGATTGCTCGGTAGGTTATTGATTGTCCAATATTTCGCATTATTATTTGGGTACTGTATCACGAGTTTCGAGTCTTGAAATTAATTAATTTTTCACAGGACTTGGATGCACCACTGTTTTATACCCGGAAAGCGCAGCGCTAGCAGCCGCACAAATCCACGCACTCAACGATCATCTGGTATGGTCGATTTTGCGAGTCAAGCAGCTCACTAATTTTGTCTCGTTAACCAAAGCTGACGTAAAATTGAGGAATTGAATCTGCCAAACGGAACGAAAGAAAAGTTGATTTTTTTTTTTTTATTTAATCAAAATACTTGTCATAGATTTATATTTTTATATCAAATTGTCATAGTTACATGAATTTTTTGGTTTATGCCAACTACAGTTTGGTATTGCCTCTCATTTTTACTTTTTCTACGATAGATTTCAATAAGTAATAAGTCGTTCATTGATCAAACTGATGATAGCACTTTTTGTTTACGCTCTATTGCTTCTTCTCATGATCTTGTTGTACTGGTTGCAAGTCTGTAATGTGCATTTCGTGAGCCGATCGGTTTATGAATAAAACAGATTGTCATAATATATAATCGAGTAAATTTATTTTTGCATACAATCATTAACCATTAGTTTGTTTTCTCTGTAGATCTTAAAAAACAAAATCTCACATATGTACATATTTATAGTCTCATCATTAACAAAGTTCATGTTATTTTACAAACAAATCTCAGGTCGCTAAGTCTGATTCAGACGTGCAAGAGCTTCAACGTCCGCTACTTCTTTTGGACAACTCGCAGTGAGATTCACAGGACCACTTTCGGTAATCAAAACGTCGTCCTCTATCCTGATTCCTAAATTGTAAAATTCTCGTGGGGCGAATTGATTTTTCGCGTTAACGTAGATTCCTAAAAGATGATAAAGAAATGAGGAATGTAATTTTCAAGTCGGAAAAAATATAAGTTTGCAGCGTAAGCGCACCTGGTTCAACCGTTACGATCATTCCAGGCCGGACTTGAACGCTTCGAGATATTTTGGGCGTATCGTGAACGTCCATGCCTAAATAGTGACTGACATGATGTGGACAATACGTATATGCAGCTGCTAATAATTTATTGCCACTGAGATCCTTGGGTAATAAATTCTCCTCTTGCAGTCTTTTGCTGAGAAGAGCAAACATGTCCTGGAATAACTGATCAAGGCTTGGCATGTACTTCAGTTTTCGAACTAATTCTGTTTGAACCTCGAGAACGATTTCATACAAAATTCGCTGGGCTGGCGTAAAGGTACCGTTAATGGGCCACGTTCTCGTTATGTCAGAGGAATAACCATGAAATTCACAGCCTTCAAATAACAAACAAAATTTCAAGTATAAGGAAACAACGATTGCTAAGAAATTTTACATTTTACCTGCATCCATTAAAACCATTGTTTTATCATGAACGACTTGATTGTTGGAGATGTAATGAATGGTGTTGGCATTTTTGCCCCCTGCAACTACAGGAGGGTAAGCTAAAAACTCAGCTCCCCTCATTCTACACTGATAATCGACAGTGGCAAATATTTCATGCTCGCTAATCCCAGGCTTTGAGAGTTCAATTGTTTTTGCTATAGCCAAACTTGCGATTTGACAACTTTTTTGCATCAAATCTATTTCAGTTTGAGACTTGATTACCCTCAATTCATGAATCAAAGTTTTAGGACTGCTAAAGTTTTTGTCAGAAAGCTTGGCTATCTGCAAAAGTTTTTCATGAACCTTTGGCTGAGCGATTTCCTCGTTGTTGTACCAAATTTGAGTATTCTTGCTCTCGCTCATCAACGAAAACATGTACTTTTCAAAATCGTCAGTGCTTAAAGCTTGATCGACTTTGAACAGTGAGTGGCTAGCCTTGACACCTGTTCGTGGGCCATCCCATAACTCACTGTGAGCATCATTTGGTCTTACAAACAGGGTTGACGAGAAACTGTCACCCTTAACAGTCAGTAGCAAAATAGAATCAGGCTCTTGGCAACCAGTGAAGTACAAAAAATCTGAATTCTGACGGAAGACATAGGGTATGTGATCTGACATGTAAACCTTGGTAGCAGAAGGTATAACTACGAGATGAGGACTAGCAACTGTTTGCTTTTCAAAAGCACATTTTGCAATTTTCTGCATAAGCTTGACTCTTCTGGCAATGAACTCATCTACTTGGATACCTGGTATAACTTCTCTTTCTCTCAAAAGGTGTGGGTGGGTGTGCGGTGTTGGCTGACCAAATGATTGCTGTGCAAGTGGAGCAGTTGATTGTTTCAAAGCTCCCTGATGTATGGCTTCTGAGGAACATTTTATTGTGCATTGGAAATCTGCAATAATACACCACCATGAGAAAAACAAGATATAATAATTGCGATGTTGTTCTTACAAAATTTCAATTAAAAGATACACGGTAACCTATATTGGTATCTCATTTTTCTTTTTTAGCACCGTGATTCAAAACAAGATCTTACTGAGTTTATTTATAAAACATCTAGCGATACTCTTGCCACTGGCTAACATTGTTTTTTCTCATAAATTTTAACTTTTTCACTGATTACTTTGACACTAGCAAACAGGGGATGGTGTGATGGTATATACCATTCAAGTAATTTCGCGGTAAGTGGTAGGTAATCATAATTTCCTACATTACCTACTGGCAGATTGAAAGTTTTCGGGCGCCGTGTATAAATCATGAGCTTCCACTTGTTGAACCGACTTAATGTATAAATGAAAAAAATGTTTTTTGATACATTTGTATTGGTTTATTTATAGTAACTGATAGAGCTAAAACAATTATTTACAAAATTATAAGGATTTGATACAAAAATATTGCAAGAAAATCTTGAAATGTAGATGTTTTTTTTGCAATACATAAAACTTATCATTATAAGATCAGTGAAATCTGTATAATACAATCAAATAAGATACTGTCAAACTTAGAATCTGCAAAACACGATATAAGATTTTAGTTTGTTTCAAATAAAAAATAATACTCTTGTATGTTTCAATTGTTTTGCACCGAAGGAGGTAATTATACAAAACATATAAAAAATACTAACTTTGAAAAATAATGATCCGTTTAATGTAAAAACATTCAAAGCTTGGAATTGAACATCAGTAGTCGTGCATTGATGCGAAAACAGCAAGAGCTGAAAATAAACGGTTTTATTTCATAGCTACTTAATCGTATTATTATTGGCTTCGATACTTACTTGGTACGTTATGTTATTGTATTTAAAATCATCGTAATTCATCAGGCAGACATGTAATAAATGGTTCATTCTTTCAATCTGTGGGATTTACAAAAGTTATTTAAAATTTCGGCTACGGAAACGAAAATCATAAATTAACGATTAATTACCTGTTTCATGGCTGAGTTGACGCAGTTCGTCAATAGGAATATTAATATTAAGATATCAATAGTATTCATTATTGAGAGCATTAATTGTATTATTGGAGTACTGCGCTTGTGATCGATTAAAAAATTCATACCTCTATGACAATAATGTAAAAAAAGTACAAAATACGTGACGACACATAAAAAAATTATTGGAGAGTAAAAGTTTAAAAATTTGCGTGATACGTTAGTCAATTCCATGTATACTCTGTGCAATTCTAAAATTTCTTTTGATTTTTCTTTTACACTGATAATTTTGTAGGAATTACTCTTTACTACACCAGTAGGTTTTTCGAAAATGTCTTTCAAACGATGGCGAATAATTTTAAATAAATCTCTAATTGCAATTACAAAAAACACATACTGAAAAAGCATCACGTCTAATATCATACGATTAATCAGCTGCATTGCATAAATCATTGGAAATTTTATGTTGTAAGGAAGTATTATTAAACGAATCAGAAAAAAAATATTTACGAGATATTTGAAAAACAATAAAGAAACGTATTTTACGTCTTTAAATATCCATGTACTATTTATGTTCTCATTCAATTCTCCAACTGCTTCTTTTACGGAATTAAATTTTTTTAAAATGGATATCGCAGTTTTTTGTTGAAAAATAGATCGAATTAAAGTATAATTGACAGCCACAAAAGTAAGTGTAGTAGTAATAGGTAAGTATACGTTAGAGACTGGATCAGATAATTTAGCAGCCAGTGCTAGAAAGTCTCGTAGATGAAAATATTGTATTGTATTTAAGAAAATCAGAAATAATATATTGTAAATCATCCCAATAAAAGAATAACTAAATGACCACCGTTTAAAAATATTATTTTGTATTGTTATCTCATTAAAATTCATTGCTATTGTTCCCAGCACTCGACTATACATGTAAAATAATTTTAGTAATGGGAGTTTTAGGTTTCTTTTCTTCATTCTTGATTTTAACTGACTAAAAAGTCTCTGGAATAAAAAGTTTGAACTATAGAATGTAGGTCACTTATTCAAAGAAAAACTATGTTTTTGTATACTTACTCTTGCAGCTTTTTTTCAATACAAGTGAGTTTTCGTGAAGTATGTAATATGATTATTCTGGAATATTGTATAAAAATTTTTAACGCGACGAAAGTTAGCGGGACACAAAAATATTATTAACTGTTTCCTTCGAGTTATTGTACTTTTCTGATGAAAGTAAACTTTCGAAAAGTCCCGTTGTCGAATAGTATTTTGTAAAATTAATGAATGCACACCAACACTTTTTGATAATCATAACGTAAGTACGTAGATTTATGAATTAATTCCATTACCATTTTATGAACAAGTCACCATACGGGGGTTCGGCTTTTAGGTGACACAAAAATTAATTCAATTTGGTAATAAACGTTGAGTCCAGCAAACACGAGTAAATGGGGACAGCAACAGAAAAACAGATCTACGATATGGAATAACTGACTTATATTATTATTCTTTTACTTGTTTTTATGGGGTCATTTTATGATAAAGAGATGGACGCATACACCAAATGGGAGCTTTATTAGGGCAACGTTGGTTAATACAATGAAAACATAAGTTGAACTATTGTATTTTACGAGAGTCTGCTTTTATTGGTAGAGTTGGTTTGAAGTAAATAGCAGTAAGTACCTACAAGTTATAAATTACACTTTGCGCGTATTGCGAAGACGAACACACTCTGTGAATTAAATACTCATCGTAAATAAAACAAATTTCCCTTACAACATATATATATACGTCACTTTGATGTCGTTGTTCTCGATAACGGATTAATCGTCTACCAATTAATTTATAATATTTTTAACGAAGCAACGTTGATTTGACCCATTATAAATTTTTTTCAACATTGCAGGAAAATGTATGCAACATATTTATTGTCCTGTCTGGGCCTCTTGATGATTATTGTAGTGTAAAAATGACTGTCGTATATATGTTACACTTGTATATAAACGCGCCATATACAATTTGACGAGTCATCTTTTCTGCTTATCATCATTATTAATCTCACGTCACATTAATGACTAGCTGTTTTCTTCCTCATTTTATCTGATCGTTAAAAATAATTGAAAAAAAATGTTTTTCCAACCTCGGGTTGCGTTTTAGAGGGTCGGGTGTGCCCTCGGTAGGAAAAATATGTTATTCGCCACATAAGCGCCATCGCTCCGCGGCTACCTTACGTCCCTCGTGTCGCAAAATAGCCCCGCAGACGACGGCACTTATCCGACGAGAACCAATATTTTATCATTAAGTAAATTTTGTTATCTCAATAATTGTATCAGATTTTCACTATAATAGGTACATTTTACGGTTGATCGAGTTGCATTGAAAGACGATTTTAAACAAAGTACAACGAGAATTTTGTAAAATAAATTTATTGACATATACAAATGATGTAACGTAAAAAACTTGATCTATACCTTGGTGAATTTTAATACAATACCACCCACTGGCGCGATCAAGAACGCCCTTGGGTTGTTGACGTACGGAATGCACGTCTTGTCACAAACATCGACCTTGTAATTCTTGAGTATCACGGCGATGCCGACTTTGGATTGATAATTTGCGAAACGCGCCCCTGAAAAAAAGCAATATTCACTCACTGTAAACAAGTTGAAAAAAAAAAAAAAAAAAAAAGTACTATCGGTTTTTCCTCATTTATCGATATACCGATGCAATTTCTCGGGCCATCGCCGAAAGGCAAAAAGTGGGCGGGGTGTCGTTGTTTGTGGATCTCCTCGTCGAACCTTTCGGGATCAAAAACCTCGGGATTGGGATAAATCTGCGGATCCCGTTGAATGGCGTAAGCTGGTATCCAAACCCGCGTGTCCTTCGGTATCGTCACGCTCGTCCCTGGGAACGTGTACTCTTTCACCGATTTTCGCATGAGCACCGCAACCGGCGGGTACTTTCGCAATGTTTCTACAACAAAGTGACAACGTCAAGAACTATGTATTTTTTATTATATACTGTTACCTCATTCATAAGCGCACAGGTGATGGTCTTACCGTAAAATACTTTGTGCATGTACTTCATGCTTTTAATACCGTCGAACGTTAACGAGCCGTTGTGCTCCTTTATTTGGTCCCTCACTTCTTGACGCAATTTTTCCTGGACGTCTTGATTAAGCGCCAACTCGTACAGAGCATTGCTTATGGTGGTGGAGGAGGTCTCGTAGCCAGCAATGAAAAACACAAACGCCTGAGCCGTCAGGAGCGTGTCTGTCATTTCTGTCTTAAACATATATACATTGTACATGTAATAATACCTATACGAATTATTTATTTGATCTAATCGCCGAGCAAAAGCAAAAAAATTTTTTTTTCTGCATTAGCTTAGTCAAACGCACGATGACGCAATTTCAAGGTCATATCTCAATTGCTACCGTCATCCACTGCTCGTGTAATTCCCACGCGCCGTGTCTTTTATTATCTAATTGAAAATTTTTGCGTACACCTACCTACCTACCTACCTACCTACGAATTATGAGAGAAAAAGAAAAAAATTGTTTCTCTTGAAACCAAGAAAATATTTACCATTGATAAGTAAAAAGTAAATATTATTTTGAAACAAGATAATGTTTTCAATGACATTAATAAACATTTTACCCAGAGTTAAAAGATAATATATATAATCTTACTTCAACGGATCATTTTTATTTATCAAGCGATAGTAAGCGTGATAGGTATACAAACAACGTTGTTTCAAAGGTATTTACACGAGGTACATATATTTTTCAATGGGAACAGTGTCATTGACACCAAGTAAATAAATACACTTTGCTCTGGAATCCGCGAGCTTTTTGAACTACAATTTTATAAAATGTATTCTCGATTAAAGTTTTTTTTGTTTTTGTTTTGTTCTTTTTCTCCAGTGTAGCACACGTACAATTAATAACAAATAACACGTTTACCGATCTCTTACCGATCTGGCTGATCTTCTCCGGATTGTCCCTGATCTCCATGAGTAGATCGACAAAGTCGTTCCTCTTGATGTTGTTCCTCCGCCTGTACTCCATCGTCTCGGTAATCGAGCCGATGAAGAAATCATTGGTCTCCCGGTCGTACATGAACGGCCCGAGCAGCTTGTACAGCCACGGCGTGGCCTCCCTGATCTTGAGCCTGATCGACTTGAGCAGCGACACCTCGAAAACCTTGCGGCCGATCTTCCGAAATTGGCTCTCCTCCTCGGCCAGGGCGTTCATCTTGAGGCCAAAGGCGCACACGCCGATCACGTCCGTCGTGAACTTGGCCGTGAGGTCCCGGCACTCGAGCTCCGGGCTCTTGGCCACCATAGTCCCGAGGAAGTCCTCAAAGTGCTCGGCGCACTCCGTTAGCAGGTAAAACATCTCCTTGAGCTTGCCGGACGTGAAAACCGGGGACAGGTTGACGCGCAACGGCCGCCAACGCTCCGGCTCCAGGGAGAACAGGTGCTGGCCCAGTGGCTCGATCTTCGCGTACGTCGTTATACCGCGATCGGCAAACACCCCGAAATCCTTGATGAGCACGTTCTTTATGAGCTCGGGGTCGCGCAACATGAGTACCGGCGTCCGCCGCGCGTACACCCCGACCATCGGCTCGTCCCCGTACTCGTTGTACAGCCTCTTGAAGTAGTCGCCCATGTACGTCCGGTTGAACATCAGCTCCCGGAAATTCCCGAGAAACGGCTCCGGCTTGGGGCCCGCGACTCCACGGCTGCTCCAAAAGTCGAAGGTCCACGTGAAGTAGTAGTACACCACGACAAACGCGACACCCAGGCCCGCGAGCACCTCCGTCGCTCCCCAACAGTACTCCATAGTATAGTGTATTATTATTATTATTACGTCGTCTCCCCAAGTGGACGCATATGTATATATATATATGGGTCCTTACGCCTCGACAGCCGCAAGCTCACTGTGCACGTATCCCATCTGCCCGTGGAGAGTATTAAATCCACTTGTGAGGTTTCTCTCTCTCTCCCCCCCTCCGTGCAATAGTGCAACCGATTGCGATGATATAAATTGTTCCCGAGAGAGGTGCCGGTTAAATACAAAGAATGTTCGAGATTACATTTTTTATCTCGTTAGGTATATTATACTCCCAGTGTGCGGCTCTTTTTTTTTTGCGCGCATACTTTCAAATATATATAAGTATATGTTGCACAAGATCGTTTGTTCGTTAATGCGCGTGGTTTGCCGATTTCGAATGTGTTGGTTACTAGTGATACATCATTTCGACTCAGAGTTTCAACATTATTTGATATTTCAAACATATGAGATACCTAACGATGATTGTTCAAGGTGGTATATATAGCTCCGCGTGGTGACTTGCAATATTTTTTGCATTATCCTCGTCATTCGAGCTTGTCAGCAAGTTATAATGGCCTCAGGTGCATGTGTACAATTATGCGGTGATTAAACCGGAGGAATTATAAATTTGATGATACTTGTTGCATACATAATTACGTATTGCGTTTTCTGACATATACTGCGGTGCATTTGTTTTCGTTTGTTTGAATATACAGAGCAGCTCGAAAGTAGTATAGCTGTATCACCAAGTGTATTTCATGATATCGTTGCAGACCTGCCTAGTGTATGGAGGGAAAAATTATGGTTTTATTTTGATGGTTAGTGAAAATGACGATTATACGACTTATCTTGTTTTCATGATCGATTTACTGCGTGTTATCGCCAATGAGTCTTCACAATTGACATTTCACGCCCCAAGAGTTTTTACATTGATTTCCGGACGCGTCACCGATATACACTGGATGTAGTCCTGGGACTCTGCAGTGGGCCAAACCATTTCCGTGGAATTTGTTTCTTTAACATTATATACACGTACACCTATACATACCTTATTTACATATAAGTACATACGTACATACTACGTGTTGTTTTAACTACACGATGGAGAGTGAATTAAATTTGAGAGAGAGAGAGAGAGTATAAAAAGCTCAATCGAGTACGTTATTTCACGCTGTGAAAAAATGAATTATATGTACACACATCTGAGGTAGAATATGGACACTCGATCAAGTCGTCCGCGTCCGTGACCATTTTATGACCCTTCCCTCGTCTTCGACATCCTAAGCTCGAGAGCTACACGTATAGTGTGCTTTGGATTGAATTACATTTCCCGCCAAACATACAATAGTTCTTCCGATGAGCTTTTTTTTACGCGCGCTTCCATTGAAAGTTCAAGCACGTAATGACATTTGTATTATCCAATCCAAATTTCCGACAATCCGACCAACTAACAAAACTACATACCAACACACCCTGTTCATCTTATCTCCCAATCGATCCTTAATTGGGGAGAAGTGAAATCTCTGAGGCTGGAATCTTGAACTTCCAGGACCAGTATATAAGGTGACCAGCTCATAATGCCCGTGCGAGAAAAAAAGTTCTTGCTTCGTCCTCGCACTCACGTGGGCTTATGATTATAGTCCTGGAAGTTCAAGACTCCTACGCAGCCATACAATTTTATTTTATTTCAACTTTCAAGTCTCAATGAATTACCTAAATACCTACGTCCCGTAAAGCCCGCAGTCTGCCTATACTATAACTCCTGGCTAGCATTTATGAATGATACACGTTTATATATATATATATAATAAGTGAGGTTATTTTGATGTATTATCTAGTCATTTGGTTTAGCTGATGTGAAGAAATTTTTTGATTTTTTGAAAAAACGTGACGGCACACATCACACTACTGATATTGATTGTTCGTCTTTGTCGTTTTTGAGCGAGTAATTTGTATCGTCTGATAAAACTGGATCCAAACTTGTATCTGACGTCTGTGTGGTGGGCACATTATGATACTTAAATGATAACTAAACGAGGAAACAGTATTTCAACGAATTCCTAATAATTCTCCCACTCGATGCATGTTGATCAACGTTTAGTTTTGATCACTAACCATATACTTTTTGCAGAGCAGGTTAAAAAATTATATCATATAAGTATCTTTGTGTTTGCCTAAAAGCTGCTAAAAACAAAACTTGCTTTGTCCTCACTCCTTAGAGCGGTCTTGTTTGCAGGTATATAAGTGTATTTTTATCTTTTTGACCACACACATATCTACTCTTAGCTCTCTTCTCTTTTGTTATGTTTTTGTGGTAACGTTATATCGTTAACTTTATATGAATTGTCGTGTTTTGGTGAGAGTATGTACAACTAACATTACTATACACTGTGAATAAAGATATACAGCGTGACTCGTGGAAACCAAAATGACAACCAAAGTTTCCGCGAAATTTTGGCTGGGAGAAACTTTAGTCACCTCAAAGTAGTTACTGTAATGTGGGGGATAAAGCGAACCGTTAACAGAAAGCGTTAAGCAGTCAAGTATCGCCACGCCGACCCATCAGTCCTACCACTAGTTATCAGGTATACCTTACAGTTGATCCACAATTTAAATACTTCTTTTGTCCATTGCCATTAGTACGCGTAAGTTCAAGTTACTTTTGTTTCATCACAGTATTGTTTTTTTACTCAGGATGGATTCGTCAGAGGACATCGATGACAACTCCAAACAGTTCTCTGATGATCTGTCCGATGATGAGACTTTGGTCGAAGGGCTGCTGGCCAATGAAACAGAAGTTAAGGGAAAGACTTGCTTTCAAAAAGAAATACATGACCTCAAGCTTCTTCCATATGCAGATGAAATTGAAAAAGAGGCTGATACCTTATTTACAGAGATTAAATATAACTTGGGTCGATACATCATGTTAAGAGACCTTGACAATATTACCGAATATTGGTATCATCTAGTAAGGTAAGCACTTGACCTCCACAGTTGTATATTTACGTTCCGATGTTTATCAATATGATTTGTACTGTTTTGATTCAAGGTATATTAAGTTGTTTGACTTGAGGTTTACAAAGGAAGATCACATTTCCTTAATTAAACTGATATATGAATTTATGACTATCCCAAATTTAAAATCATTGTCAGTTGTCAGCAGCGGGTGGACCCTTATTATGCTTTTAAGGTTCATTAAATTATTTATAAACGTATTATACTTACTTACTCAGTCAAACAAACATTAATATTGGCATAAATAATCATTTAGAAAAAGTGACTTGATTTCGCCTAACGAATTGGAACTGCCGTGGAGACCTTTGTACGAATTGTGCAATAATACAATCAATAAAACAGCATGGAACATTCCTCTTCAGATTAACTCTCCTTCACTCAAAACCGTTCTTGAAAAAGTGATTTATGCAGCGAAAATTTATTTTCCTGTAAGTATTTTTTGTCTCTTGAGAAAATACGAAAAATTCTGGTTTTTTAAAACAATTTTTCATTTTCTAAGGCAAATGCAACTCAAGAAATACTCGACGAACTGCGATCAGGAATTTGTGCATTTAATTACGGTGTGACGCGTACATCTATCAAGATGTTAGAATGGTTTTTGCCGACTATGATGACGCCAGACCGCCATGAGCAAGGCTTCAAGCTGTGGTTCGACGAATTATTGACCCTTTGGAAAAATTGTACCATGCTTTCGATCGCTTCTAGTCTGTTGCACCTATTCTCTGACTTGGCCTATTATAACGTTGGTTACATTGACTGGGAGCCCTACATACCTTTAATGTTCACAAAATTTGTTCAAAGCTTCGGTTTGCCAGTGAATTACAAAAACATAAGCTGCAGAAGTAATCTTAAACTATCACCCCGCCGCATTGGGATATGGATTGCATCTGCTTTGGTAAGTATCATACACATCTAAAAAGAGCATTGTTATCAATTCATAAATTATAAGTTGGAGATTTTTTTTTTTTTTTTTTTTTTAGGGAGGAAACTCTAGTGTTCAAGCCTATTTGGATAAATTTTTAAAAACTGTTGAAACTTACTTTCATCCTGCTAATTATGGTAACTGGCTTCACTCCCTTGAAGAATTGTTTTTAACACTGTCAAATGTTGTAGTTGTAAGGCTTTACAAGTAAGTCATAGTTTTTTGTTGTGCGACAGTAATGAGTAATATATTTTTTTTTAATTAAAAATATTGTTATTCAGAGAAAGATATCAGAAAAACAAAAGTAACAACCCTAGGTGGAATCCACCGACTCCTGAATCTCACAAATTAACGGACGCCGACGTCGATGCATTTGTAAATAGTATGATGCAAATTGTTACAATTGGCATTTATAACAAACGCTGCCACGATTTATTCGAAGCCTTGAGTTATTTAGCAATAACAAGGCCAAACATTGTGATACCTGTCGTATTGGAAAAAGTGTATCCTACTTTAGGTTTCGAAATTGAGCCACACAAGCAAATCATTGCTTTCAACTGTATGATTGCTATCGCTCGGCCGATGGTTCTAGGCTCACGTCACATCGAAAAAGGTACTTGTTCATATTATGCGACATTAAAGTAAGTTGCACGTAATCGAACATTAATTATTTTTTCCAGAATACGCATTTCAAGAAGGACAATTGTACATACTGCCATTGCTCTTTACGGCGTTGGCGGGTATCGATCCAAACGACCAAAACAAGTGCCTTGCCACGTTTAGACTCATTCAGATATACGTCTCGATGATTCCAATCGTGGACTGCTCCAAATCGTCAGCAGTTACAAGCGAGGATGAACGGCTTGTTTGCGAGGATACGTCGCGCTTTGAAGATTTTGTCTTGCAACTCATGTCGAAGGTGTTTACGTTGATCGAGTCTAGTACGTTTGAATCGGTTAGGCTTGAGAGTACGAGAAGTAACGTCAAAAGTCAATCGCATTCCAAGTTTGAGATGGAACTCAATTTTTTGTTCTTGACACTGTTGCGCCAATCTAGTCCATCGTTGAGAAATTTTGCGCTTTTCAAATTGCGTAGCTTCATCTTGGAATCGACACTCGAAATTCAGGTGTCGGGCCGATTAGTTGCCACGCTCTGTGAAGTATTTGCGTAAGTGTCTCGCAAATTTAATAAAACATACAATTTTTTATAACCATTGGAAATATTTTATTTTACAGCCAAGTCCACGGTCCCGAAACTCTAAAAGCTCTGATGCCCTTCATCTCTGAGAGATTTCACGAATGCATCGACGAAGACGACGCCTTTAAGGCTGAGCATCTCAATAATCAAATTCTCTTTCCGCTACTACTATTAAGCCGTTTAGTATTGACTCAGGGTGACGTTCTTTTACCCCATGAAGACACTGTACTCGACGTCATCGACAAAGCTATTCATTTGAAATCACTCGAGGGTAACGAGCTTGGCTGCGTACTATTGAGTAACACTTTGCAAGCGCTCGCTAACGTGAATCCGATCAATGTCGAGCGAAATCTCGACGATTCCGAGTACCCACATACAAGAGATTGGGGCGTGACATCCAAGATTAAACGCATCAAGTTTTATGTGCCCGGCGATAATGAGGTAGCTGCTTTGGAGAGGATTTTTAAGAGATACTTTGTGCCGGTCATCGCTGCGATCGAGAAGTTTATCGAAACGGGAAATTCATTGTCACGGTGTGTGTTGATAAATACTCTAATTTTTTGACATTGTTAACTCTATTATTGTTTCTAGGGATGACTTGGAACGTACTTTGAGGATTCTTTCTTACATCTTGAAGGGATGTAATGGATTTTTGCCGGTCTGGTCGGAGCCTCCGTTACAAATGAAACGCATGCGGGATAAAAAAGTGTTTGAAGCGGCAGTAGGTTTCAAGGGGGAAATCAAAATGCCCGACGGCAGTAATGTCAGATACTTTTTGGCGCGATTAATATCCCGACTCCAAGAAGTTATGATGGCTAAAGTTGAGGACGATACGAAAAGTTTCTTTCAGCTGATTGTGGTGAGACATGAAAATTCCTCGTAATCGTAAAAATCCAATAATATAAAAAAAATATGTCGGATGGCTTTAGGTTTGGCAATACGTTCTCTTTGGCAAAATTTTTTCCGAGACAAGTTTCAAGTATTTAACGAATTTCCATAATTCGATGTATCCGGTTAAATATCGATTGACTGGCTGCAAGGGCTGGTTCGTAACGTACAAACTGGCCCGAGTTTATATGCTTCAGGGCTTGCGCAGGCAATCTGCCGACTATCCAACAACCGAGACTCACAAATCAATACTCTTGAACTTGTTTAAACTAAGCATCAGTCACTATCCTGGAGTTCGCATAAAATCCCAAGATGCAATTTTGAATTCTCTAATGTTTTTTGGAAAGGTCGATGTGATTTTGTTACCTGATATTATCGAAGTTCTTCAACGAGATCCTACTGCTCATCATGATGCTTTTAAAGTTGGTATTCACAAAACTCTCTGTTTAATTAGTTTTCGAAAAAAAAAAAAAAAAAAAAAAAAAAAAACTTATTTTTTGTTTCCAGGGAATTTTATACCTATTAATAGGACAGGCGAGTGGGTCTGATTGTCTTATGATCTCGTTGGATTGGGAATTCACGAGAAAACTATGGCCAGCCATTGCCAGTTCCAGAAGTTCTGAAAAACCTTCGATAGTTCGTTTGAAAAAAGCAATCGCTGAAGCGCTAAGAGACTATTACTCGTCGGTCAACTTGAGAGCAACAATACCCGATTCAACTGTATCTGCGGCGGAAAAGCTCTGGGACACTGGGTTGAAACTAATCGAACCGAAACCCAGCGAAGAAGAAATGAACAAGGGAATCGAAAATTTGCGCAAAATCGAAGAAGAAAACTTTAGGTGGTACAACGAGATCATGGACGAGCTCTTGATTGCTCTGGTCGACAAAAATAAGATTTGGAATGATCGTCTGGTTAGCATGAATTTCATGTACGTTCTCCTCAACGATGAAGTCATTGTTTCCGCCCCAACCGTACGGTTTTTTCTAAATTCCTTGCTGCACGATACGATACACGAAAGAAAGGCTGCTTTGAGAGTGCTTACAACAATTATGAAGCAGTTGAAGAAAAAATATCCCAAGGTACGTGTGCAACGCCTTGTTATCTTTACATTGATTTATAAATCACAGAGTTGAAAGTAACAAATTTGTTTTACAGATTGAAATAGAAAATCCGTCTATCAGTGAGTATTCGTCGTTGCCAGGCCCCATTAAACCTGGTTCCAGACCCGATAATGCCTGGCTCCAGTACAATCGCGAGACGTGCCCAACCAGCCAGGCAGACTGGGATGAGCCTCGTTACGTGAACAAAATCAACACTGGCTACTACGCGTGGCCTAGAAAACTCAAAGTCTGCGCTCCCTCGGCCAAACAGAGTCTTTTTGACCGATCCACGTACAAGGAACAAGATTTGGAGATTATTCGTTTCTTCGAGGAGACGCTTAACGTGGACAAACTCATCGAATACCTGAGCCTCGAAGGTAAAAAAGTTTTGGAAAAATTCGACGACAACCGGCGAATCTTCTTCAAAAGTCTGTTTCGCAACTACGGCGACTCTTTCCTGCCACATTTTCTGCCCCACCTGCGTCGCCTTGTCGTCGAAAAGCAAAACGCGTCCCAGCGCTGCGCTGCCGAGATAATAGCGGGCATAGTTCAGGGCTCGAAACACTGGACCTACGATATGGTCGCCCGGATGTGGGAGGGTCTGCTACCGATACTGCGCAAAGCCATGAGCAATCTGACCGGCGAGTTTATAGTCCACTGGCAGGCCTGTATGGTGCGGATCTGCATGCAGCGCGATCCAAAGAGGCTCCACTGGTTGCTCGAGTTTCTGCTCGAGGAGACTCCCAAGGAGCAATCCGTTGAAGCATCCATCGTTCAATACGGACGCATCATGATTTTGCAGAGTGCCATCGTGCCTATCGCCTGGAAGTCGGTCGACCTGTTGCACCGAACGCTCAAGTACTTGGAGAGCCGCATCGAGCAGAGAATCTTCCGCACGGTCAGGGACGCTTTGGTGACGACGCTTAATTTGATCCTCAACGAGAACCTACAGCTGACAACCGTGAGCGACGAGCCGAACGGTACGAAGTTTATAGACAAGTTTTATCCAAAGGTGCAATCGTTACTCGAAAAAGACGCCACGGCTTTGCAAGACTCATCCACGAGTGCCATGGAAACGGAGCAACCAAACGGGATCGACCTCGAGCGGGAGAACACGGTCCGTTTGTTCAAGACGATCTGCATGTGGATCTACTGTGCGTCGCGGACCTCGTTCAGCCAGAATCTCTCGAGTTTCTACAAAATGCTGCCTCTGATGTGCCAGTTGGAAAACGACGACAAGGACGAGGAGCTGTCGAAGATCTGTACGCAGTCCATCGCCGCTCTGGCCCACACTGTACACCGTGGCGAGCACATACCCTCGGCTCTCGAGTCTGTGCGTCTTGTCTGCCAAAGTGACTCGTGGTCGTCCCGAGCCAACTGCCTCGAGTTTTTGCAGGTGTTGGTTTTTCACAATATGAGCTTGTTTTTGAGCAACGAGGGCTGGATACGTGACGTGCAAAATGTTGTGGTGAAATGTCTGGAGGATGAGAGGCTCGAGGTCAGGGAAAAATCCGCCAAGCTACTTGGCGGATTGCTTCATTGTAACGTCATACCCGATCAGGAAGCTCTTCTGGTACGATGGGTAGAAATATTTTTTTGTTTTCTTACTTTTTTTGATATTGAAAGAGAATTCTCATTGCAGGAAGAGTTCAAGAAAAAAACGAGAACGAAACTCGTTAAAAAAAAAAAAGTAGTCAATTGTCCTAAAGCTGCTCGTGTTCGTCATGCTAGTATTCTCGGAATGTGCGCCTTCATTCTAGCGTATCCTTACGATATTCCCAAGCACGTTCCACCGATTTTCGAGTGTCTCAGTTTTCACCTTAACGATCCTGAGCCAATACCGGTAAGTTGATGAGATAATTGACATACATATATTATTAATGCTTGTTAATTAATATTCTCCCTGGGTTACAGACTACCATTCATAAAACGGTAAACGAATTTAAGCGTACCCACACTGATGGTCTGGCAGAAAAATTTACGGAAGAGCAATTTGCAGTTTTGCAAGATTTGACTGTCCCGCCATCGTACATTGTGTGATTGTGAAATTAAAATTAAATTATAACGACGAATGGAATTGGAAAGTTTTATTTAGCTAGACGAGTAATGAAAAAATATTTCAAATTAAATTTTTATTATTAGTCGTAGAGTCGACCTTTTTATTGTAGATATACGTGTGCAAATGCATCAAAAGTATTGTATAACGCCTTTTTTTTTTTTTTTTAATAAAACAATAACAATTATACGGTGACATTGTTTACTTTATATCCTCTTCCTTTTACACTTGCCATGAAAAGAAAATCAAAATACATCCCGCCCTTTTCAGGATTTCTACGATTGGCCGCCGAGTGTGGGAAAGTGTCTGCTCTCATCTGTTATCAGAGACATCACATATTTATCTTTGAGAAATTAGTATTTTTAACGTCAAGTGTTCAGCTCTTAGATACAACATTGCACTAATATTAAAATTTGAATGCATATCTAGCTTAAGCTTCATGATTTATGATAATCCTACCAATATATACCCACCCGCTTTTTTGTAATCACTGTGCTCACACTGCTGGCAGCTCTGCTGCTCACCCAGTAGAACGAGGCTATATATATTGTTTTTCTTTCTCTCTCTCGGTGTGTTTTGTGTTTTTCTCTCTGTCAAAAGGTTCATGTTGAAGTTGAAATTAAATGTTGACGGTTCGGTGGTCTAGTGTGATAAGGAATCGCCGTTTGCCTTAGAATATAATGATGAGATACATAAAAGACGCATCATGAGGCCGGAGTTTAGCTAAGAGGTGGGTATGTGTGTTTATCATCGACATGTAATGGGTGTTGTTGAGTACATTAAAGTTAAGATCTCTTTTTGGATTCTATTATGGTTGTAACGAAACAATTTGTTCTCTATTGTTTTCCATCACTATATATATTGCAGATTGATATGATACTTTTTTTTTTTTTTTTTTTTTCTTCTTCAGTCAATATATTAAAGAAAAATTGGAATCATGAGCGGTCAGTTGAACTTTAAAGTGAGACCAGAGGTCCGTCTGGATGCCAAGTGGCTGAAGATGGACCTGCAGCGGTTCATGTGCAAAGATGGTCTTGCAGACCTTTGGAACGAGATGATTAGAGATGGAGAAATCGTTGGTGCCTTTAGCGATGGTCTGGTGAACTCGGCTGGTGTTATCGCCAAAAAAGGTGGCTCATCGTTTCTAGTTATGTTGTAACTTGAGAAATACCAGTGGATACTAATTTATTTTTTTTGTTGCTTTTTTCTCTTATATTTCAGGAGAGAATGGTCATTATTATTGTAGTTTAAGAGTGCTGTCTTGTCCTTGTTGCGATGGCATTTGTGGCCCACAAAATGGATGTAATTGCGGTCCTTGCCAAAAACTGGACGACGAAGAAGAAGACGGAATTGTTACCAGTGAAAAATCTATTCCTGCTCAAAATACCATAAATTCTTGGCTGTGGAGTTCTCAACCATGTAAGCGAATCTCACTCGTACATCGATTACAAGGATGCAAGGAAATTAATAAGCTTCCACTGTCTTTTCAGCCAACAAAGAATTGAGTTTGTGCATCGAGTCGCTCATAAAAGAGCAAAGAAATTTATGCCACGAAGTTGCCAATAGTACACTGTCGGCAATCAGATTAAGACAGCGCCTAGTTATTGCCAGAAGATATTTTACTGCCTTGTCGCGACACAAACCTCAGGAGAATAAGGAAATGGCGACAACTCCTAAAACAGCAGTCAAAACACAGAAAAAGTGAGTGATTATTTATTAATAAATCGCGTATTCGTGTACTGAATGACGATATTTTTGTTTTTTTTTTCAGAATAAAACCCAGTGAAAAAGCAACAGCCGGCCTAGCGCGTGTAGGTTCCCACGCAATCCTCAATATTTCGTTTGCGTATCTGAGAAAGGCCTGGAGATCTGGTGAAGACGTCGACTCTTGCAGTGAACTGTTGACAGAGTCCTTGGAAGCCTTGCAATCGTTGTCCGAAGCCACGCTATTTGATGAGAATAACGTTTCACAAGTCTGGCTGGAAGTCGTTGAAAGATCTTCGAAATTTTTGCGTCAAGTTGTTACCGGGTACATAGAAACTTTTCACCTACATGCTATTATTGCTCCCTTTGTTTCCAACAAATGTTTGTCCCGCAGTGATATAGGGTCGGGAAGGGTTCCGTGCTGTCCGGTACCAGTTGCCGATCAGTGCACAGCTCTTTGCCTATTACTAGAACTAGCCACGCAGCGAGGCACCCTGTCGAGTCTTTTGGATTCGGTGATTCTCCTGCTGCAGTTGAGCGAAAAACCCAAATACCAGGACAACCGCGTGATGCCGCGGGGCAGCTCCGCTCCTCTGATACCATTCCTGCGTCGGCTGAGTCGCATAGCTGCGACCAAGTCTCGACGTCTCGACGAGAACGTGGCTCCCGGGCCCTGCGAAGCGCTGCTCAAGTACCTACGACTCCCCGAGGCCGAGGGGACTCCCGTTGACCTGCGAAAGGCCGCGGTGATCGTCATGTGTCACCTGAGCCGACTAGCCAAGCCCCTACTGCCCCCCATACCCGATTTGCTCAGATCCGAGACTCACACATTCCAGGAAGTGCTTGCTTGGGGCAACGTGCAGTTTGGCAGCGGGGCACCACCGTACTATTGCGATGCGATCGCCGAAATCGGGGTCAAGCAGCTCTGTTGCAGCGAAAGAGCTCTGCTGATACTCTCGCTCGGCGGCAAAGTGTACATGATGTACTATGGCTCGGAGACCCAGTATCCACAGACCATCTACGGGTTTGCCGACGAGGTGGTCATGATCGCCTCCCACGCAGACGGAAAGCACTACTTGGGCCTCACGAGCAAGGGTATCGTTTATTCCTGGGGAAACGGCGACGGTGGGAGGCTCGGGCACGGCGATAGCTTCTCCTGCGACGAGCCTCAAGTGATCGAGGCACTGGCGGACAAAATCGTGACATACATTGCTTGCGGTAGCACGTATTCAGCCGCGATCACGAGCTCCGGCGAATTGTATACTTGGGGCCGGGGTAGCTACGGTCGTCTGGGACACGGTACGTCGGACGACATTAACGTTCCAACGGTCGTATCCTCCCTGAACGGCCACACGGTTACTCACGTCGCTTGCGGCAGCGGTGATTCGCAGACCTTATGCGTTACCAATTCGGGAATCGTGTTTTCCTGGGGTGATGGCGATTACGGTAAACTGGGCAGGGGGAACACCGAGAGCTCCAAGAGTCCCAAGATCATCGACAAGCTGCTGGATCAGAATGTCGTCAAGGTTTTTTGCGGTGGCCAGTTTTCCGCTGCTCTTTCGGCACACGGTGAAGTTTACACTTGGGGTGAGTAGCATGGATTTTGCATTCCCATAGCATTTCGATGGTAAAATTCACGTTATTTTATTTTATTTTTATTTTTTTCCACCAGGCAAAGGCGACAACTATCGTCTAGGTCATGGCAACGAGGACCATTTGCACCACCCAAAGTTAGTCGATGGCCTGAGAAATCGAAAAGTACGCGACCTGTCAGTTGGCAGTATGCACGTGCTTGCTCTCACGGAGGATCAGCTGGTTTATGGATGGGGTCGTAACGAGTCGTACCAGATCGATCCATCTCTCGGACCCATTGTCTCGGAGCCTACCCTCTGCCCGACACTCAGTGGTAAGAGCATGATCGGCCTAGTCTGCGGGCCCAGTCAGAGCTTTGCCTGGTCCATGTCGAGCTGGTCGGTAGCCCAGCGTGTTGCCTTTGTCGTCGATGTCTGCGAAGACACGTTCAAACTTTTGGACGGTCTCCTGGCTAAATCTTGCGAAGGTTCGTCCAACGAGTTACAAACCTAATCGTAGCTCATAAATCGATGAAAGTCACAAAATAATAAATAATTTCAGGTCTGCCTGGTACGAGGCCTCCGATGCAAGATCGCGAGTGTTTGGTCGTCGCAGCCCTCAATCTACTGAGGTTGCAGCTGCACGCCATGATAACGCACAACATGGACAGTAAGTCCGTCGGGCTGGGTAACACGAGTGCACTGCTCAATTCGATAAAGACGCGTTGCGTCAATCTGGCGAGTATGTCTGGTATTTTGGCGACCATACAGGAGGCTGCTCAAGCCGTGTTACAAACTGGCTGGAGCATCATACTGCCTACGGCGAATGAACGAGCAAAAACACTGTCTGGTGAGGATGCATTTTTTTTCGGCCAATTTTAATGTTGTTACCATGAAATTGAAATCCATTAGGTTTTCTTCCCAACACCAACGCTCTGGAGATCAACAGTTTTAACTCGAGCAATCGAGGTCAGCAGTTTATGGCGAACCTTCTAGTCTCGAGCCTCATGGCCGACGGTGGCCTGGAGCTCGCACTCAAGACCGCGATCAAGGCCGAGATCACTGATTCGTCCGACGACAGCATGGACTTGTCAGCGACGACGGGCTCCAACGAGTTGAACAAAGATTACAACACCAGTGAGATGAAATCCAGCTTCAATTCGTCCAACGCCGCCACGATATCCCTACTGCAACTAGTCAAGCAACTCGTGCGCAACGGAACTTGCATCACGCAGTCGAGGTTCCGCGCGCTCCAGCAGCAGCAGCATCAGCAGTTTAGACAGAAAAGGATCGACAACTCGCCGAGCCTCAGTTTGCTGTTGAGGTTTCAACGATTGCTCGTCACGCAAATGCTCAACTGCATACGCATGTGCAGCACCGTGTCGGAATCGCAAGATCAAGAGATGCTCGGTGTCGAATCGTTGCTCAAGAAATACATTTTTCAAGTTTGCAATCACGTCACGGAAACCATGCCCGTAGCCGTAGAGCTTGCTAGTGCCAGTTCAAAAAATTTCGTCATGGTGGCTACCATTCTCAAGGCTGATATCATCAGTGTCTTGTTACCCGAGCTTATTATTTGTTTGATACTGCTCCAGGTAAATTTTTGTACTTTCATTTCAAAGCGCATAAACGTAAATCAACGAGTACGTATGATTTAGGTCGATTATCCAATGCTACTGTTGAAAATGAACTGGATGGAAGTGTTGTCGCCGATACTAGATGCGCTCGATCAGTTTAACCGTTTGGGACCGACGATCGAAAAAGACGACGCGGACGATCTTTCGTGGCCCGGCATAATTGCACCACAGCACAGCAACAAAATTGACATCCAAGACGAACCATCGTTGATTCGTTGGGCGGATTTGGAGAATCACAATCGCGACGGTGGTTTCTGGGTCGTTCTCAACAACAGCGTCTACGATGTCCAGGACATATCCGGATACGACGGATCACCGATGGTGAGACTAGTATTTTCATGTATACGAAAAAAAAAAAAAAAAAATTTGCCCTCACGATTCATTTTTTTCTTTTAAACAGGGCTATCAGGAAACGCTAAATAAAATCAGTCGAGAGGCCCGGGGTGGCATGATGGACTCGTGTTTCGTCGGCTACTACTGCCAGCCGGATCCCCACAACATCCAATTCACCATCGATGTGACGGACGTCTGCTCGAGTCTCCTCGACACCGAACGCGCTCTCGGCTTTGTCCTCGGTTTACACGCCTACCGACTACGTCAAAGCCTCGCGATCCAACCCGCTGAGGACGAAGCCAAGGTTTGGCTCGAGGCGAACTTTCTCCGAGGTGGCCTCCAGATCCTTCAGCCTCCGAATCCGTATGAAGAAGAAAAGGGTGAGGCGCGTAGCAACAACTCGACCGCGGCCAACTCGCCAACTGAACCACCCCTCGCGCCGATCTGCACGAAAGATGAGCCACAGCGCGTTACCGACGATCGCGTGCTGGCATTTGTACAGGCTCTCGCTGAAACTCACAAAAGCGACACCTACGTTCAAGCATTTTTGGCCATAGTCGATCGGTACTGCAAGGCGAACAACTTGCTCTCGCACGTGGACTTTTGCGGTGATCACCCGGTCGAAGAGATCGGTAGGCTTCTCATGGCCGTCATTATCAAACACCTGGCCCTGGGACACGAGACGATAGCGCTGGTCGACCAGGAGCTGGCCGAGGGCAACGTCAAGCTCGGCAAGCCACTGGCCGACATGGTCAAAGCCATACACCAGACCAAGTGGAATCTCATCCGAACGCGACAGCAGCAAAACCGCAGCTACAAGGAGGTGTGCGCTCCTGCTCAGGAGAAATGCCGATTCCTCCTGTACGAGGTGCGCCCAGCCACGAGTTACGAAGTCAAGGGCCTCAGAGATTTAAAACTCCTGTTTGTCGAGCCGCGCTTCAAGCGAGCCGTGCACAGGGTCATGTCGGACATGAGCGATCTCGAGTCTCCGTCCAAGCCCGAGGACATAGTCAATACCTCGATACAGAACGCCAAAGCGAAAACCAAGGGCGACGAGCTTGAGGAAAAGGCCGATCCCTCCGCTACGAGTGCCGTTAGCGCGCTGCCGCCGAAATTCGAGGAGAATTCGAACGTCGTCAGAAAACTGACGGACAAGTTGAATCGCAAGCCCTTGGTGATGGACGCTAACCAACTACTGAGCAACATAATCAATTTCGTGACGACGGAAGAGAGCGGCGACGTAGAGACGCTCAAGCGCGCCATGTACTGTCAGATTCAGCGTGTAAAGATGCGAGAGCAAGGCCTGCAGATGATACAAGAACTGCTGCTAAAGGACCACTTGATCACGTCGGTCAAGTATTCGCTTCTCAACGGCTGGCTGGGCCTGACCCACGAAAACAAACACCTGGCCCACGGGATAACGCACTGTTTGAAAAACATACAGTCAGTCACGCCCTACTTGAGATCAAAGATTATATTGGCCGAGTCTAAGGTGACGCTTTGGGCCATACGAGCATTGCGCGGCTACATCATACAAGCGGAACTGCCCAACAAGTCGAACAAGGTCAGCGGCAAGAGCAGTTTAAATCAGCTTTTCAGAAAGCTGCCCAGGGCTAGATTTTTACTGACGATATTTGGCATGCTCACCGGTCACCATCACGCCAACGAGATCGGCTTGCTCATCAACTCGGGACTGTTGTCGAGTATACTGACGCTGCTCAGACAGATAGGCCCGTCCAAAGTGTCGCCCATGCGGACAAAGGTCAAAGAGTCGAGGAGCCAGGACACGGGAATAACGGCCATCTACGAGGACGTGGTGTACAAGTGCGACAAGTCGATACAGATGAGCGGACCGGAATTGGCGGCGCTCATGAAGCTTGGAACGAGAGTCGTGCGGGGTGCCGATTGGAAATGGGCTGAACAGGATGGACCGTCGCCCAGTGAAGGAACGGTCATAGGTAACTGTTTATTTTATTATTATTATTATTATTATTTTTTTTTTTCATGTTGAAACGCAAATATTTTTACGCCTCGTTGCGCACAGAGGAGCTCGGCGTCGATGGTTGGGTCCGAGTCAGGTGGGACAACGGCATAGCCAATTCGTATCGCATGGGCAAAGAGGGTAAATTCGACCTTAAGCTCGCGGAGCCACCTATACCACCGGAAAGCGACTCGGAAAGTGAGTCACCGCCAAGCGTCTCGGAATCCATCAGGGACGGCTCAAGCGAAGTTCATCCAACGACTTTATTGAAAACCGCTTGCGTTACCTTGCTAAGGGCCATTTTGCTCTCCTGCGGCATCGAAGCTCAACAGGTGCAAGCTTCGGCCATAAGAACTCTGTCCTCCGTCCTGCGTGGAATCATATCCAATGCTAACAAATCCGACACCAGTATACAGACACAGATAGGTGTGCAAAAAACACTTTATTAAAAAAAAAAAAAAAAAAAACATAAGATTTGAAATGATTACCCACTCGTTGTTTGTCTAGCCAAAGAACACGGAGAAACATGGGCCACTTTGAGTTTGCTTCGAGCCATATCCAGTTCACCGGTTTTGTGTCGCGCTTTGAGCACGACAGTCTGGGTGAACTTTTTACTCGGTATAGTGGCCGACGAAACAGCCGGTCGACTGCACAAGCAGATAATGGCGATACGGCTTCTGGGCACAGTTCTTCCATCCTGGCCGTCGGAGAACGTAACCGACATGACGTCGTTCCTCGAAAAGTCCTTCCGTCTACTCGGTCACATTGGCTTGATGTGCGACTCCACGAACGAGCTGCACTCAAACAAGTGCCGAGTTTCCTTGACTGCAGCCCACGGCTCTACCCTCGCGGGCGAAATGATCTCTCTGATACGCAACCTTCACGCCCTGCCCGGATGGAATACCACGATAAATGCTTTCCTCGCGTCGAAATTGACACTTGCCTCGGATCTGTTGAGCGATGGTCCGCTCTTTCACATCCAGATGAACGAGAACGGGGGAGAAAATAGCCTCGTCATTCAACAAACGGTCATGTCGACGCTCAGCGTTTTGGGGGGTCTCGATAATCGGCCGAGGATCGGTGGCGTGATAGAACTGGACGGGGAGTTGGCCACCATCTGTAAATTCACCCACTCGTCAAAGTTGAGGATACAGATGCACGAAAGTGGAACGCGCAAGAAAATTCTCTTTGTTAATTTCAAGGTGCGAGCCTTTTTTATTTTTTTGTTTTTTTTTTTCCAACAGAGCACGTAACTTTATCATTTGTCACCGTGTAGGTGGTAAACGATAAATTCCATCTGGATAAGATGCCTCTTACCGAACAGCTGCAAGGCACTTGGGCAAATTTATTGCTCGGACACAGTGGTATGGATAAGCGACCGGGTGGCATGCCCGTTATTGCCGGTAACGTGAACGCGTCTATTTTGCGAATGCAACAGCATCAGTTGGCTGCGCTCAATGCTGGAAAAACGCTGATCGAGTATCAGTCAAAGCTGAGGAAAGTACTAAAGTCTGTGACCACAGGCAACGACGAAGAGCACAGCACGCTCTTGCAAGATTTGCTCGTCAGGGCCACGAAACCTCAGCCCCTCAAGTCTACGTTTAAAATCGAAGAGTTGGAAACTGCCGCCCTCATCATTAGCCAGTACCTGGCATCGGAATTGAGACACACACCAATCCACTATCCTGGTAAGTGTATTATTTTTTTCTTCGTTTTAATCACTCTTTTGGGTTTTTTTTTTTTTTTTTTTTTTCTCATGGCATGAAACTTGTTGCAGTAAGAGCTTCGGGTTCGGAACCAACATCTCCCACTTCGGACACGTCCTTAATTTCGTTGACATCGAGTCAGAAACGCAAAAACATCGGGAAACCAAGCAGCTCGGCAGCCATCGTCGTCGGAAAGTCGGCCAGTCCAAACAACAGTCCACTGGTCACTCAAATCGTAGAAATGGGCTTTGAAAAGAGCCGAGTCGAGTTGGCCGTTAAAAATCTGAGTGCTGTCGAGGGCAGCAACATAACGCCCGAAACCATCGTCGGGTGGTTGCTCGAAAATCCAGACGTCGTCAGCGACACGGAAACGGTATCGAGTTTCGAGGACGCCTGTGAGTCGGACGACTCGAGCAGCGATGACGCCGAGGACGATCCATCCCTCCAAGAGACGGAAGGATCCTCGCAGCCGACCTACATGAAACGATCGGATTTCCTGTCGGTCGACGAGTACGCCATCTACGTGAGAGACAACGTCAAGGCCGGAATGCTCGTGAGATGCTGCAAAACCTACGAGGAGGTGGAGTACGGGGACGTCGGCCAAGTCGTCAAAATCGATCCCGAGGGTCTGCACGATCTAAACGTCCAAGTCTCTTGGCAGCAGAAAGGGGGCACCTACTGGGTCAGATTCATCCACATCGAGTTACTGGGACACCCGCCCTCACTGCCAGGACCACCGGCTCTAAAAATCGGTGACAAGGTGCGCGTCAAGCCCTCGGTGACGATGCCCAAGTACAAGTGGGGCTCGGTCAACCATCTAAGCGTCGGCTTGGTCACGGCTATCTTGAACAACGGCAAGGACGTGTCGATAGATTTTCCCCAGCAGAACAGCTGGACCGGACTCGCCGCGGAGATGGAGCGCGTCCCTTCGTGCCATCACTCGGTCTCGTGCAACTCGTGCCACGTCTCGCCGATCTCGGGGCCGCGCTTCAAATGCAAGCCCTGCGAGAACCACAACCTCTGCGAGAACTGCTTTTACACGAAGCGCACTCACCGTCACGGCTTCAATCGAATAGCCGAGCCGGGCTCGCCGGCCGTCTACGCCGGCAGACCCGGCAGATACCACCGACAAGATCTACTCGAGCCGTCGCTGCTGGACGACTGGTCCAAGTGCATACGCACCCTGAGCGTCTCGTCGAACGAGCGCATGGCGACGCGGCTGGTCGACGGCTCGAACAAGTACTGGCAGAGCTGCGGCGTCCAGGGCGCCCACTGGATCCGCTTGGAAATGCTGCCAGGCATCCTGATCCACTCGCTCAAGTTGCTCGTCAATCCGCACAACGGGAGCTACGTACCCTCGCTCGTAGTCGTCAGCGCGGGCGACTCTTTCGACAGTATGCACGAGCTCGCGACAATCAACGTGCGACACAACGACTCCACCATCGCTCTACTGCAGGACGTCAAGGTTTACTACGCCTGCGTCGAGATAGCCGTCAAACAGTGCAGGAACGGTGGCATCGATTGCAAAATCAGCAAACTCCAGATTGTCGGCTGCAAGAAGCTGGACCACATGACCACCTCCGTGTCCTTTTTGGCGTCCGACTGGGAGATTGTGCAGGAGCAAATGTCGACCCATAGATCCGGCGACGCCCAGCAGAACGCCGCGGTCTACGTCTGGGGACTCAACGACAAGGACCAACTTGGGGGACTGAAGGGCTCGAAAATCAAGTTGCCCGTCTACAGCGAAGTACTGTCCAAACTGAAGCCCATTCACATAGCAGGTATAATTTCTCTTGTGAAAAAAAAAAAAAAAAAAAAATAATAAATAAATAAACAAATAATTGAATGATTCATGTCCGTGTTGTTCGACACAGGTGGCAGTAAAACTCTCTTCATCGTGAGCCAAGAGGGAAAGTTGTACGCTTGCGGCGAGGGTACGAACGGCCGCCTCGGTCTCGGCGACAACAACAACGTGTGCGAGCCCAAGCCGATTCCCTTCCTCAGTCAGTACATCATAAAAAAGGTGGCCGTGCATTCCGGTGGCAAGCACGCGCTCGCCCTCACGCAGGATGGCAAGGTCTTTTCGTGGGGCGAGGGCGAGGATGGCAAACTCGGCCACGGTAATCGCTTGTCCCTCGACAAGCCCCGGCTCATCGAAGCCCTCAAATCCAAAAGGATCCGCGACATTGCCTGCGGCTCTGGACACTCGGCTGCGATCACGAGCAACGGCGAGCTCTACACTTGGGGCCTCGGCGAGTACGGTAGGCTCGGACACGGCGACACGACCACGCATCTAAAGCCAAAATTGGTCGAGGCTGTGGTCGGACAAAGGGTCGTCCAGGTGGCTTGTGGGAGCAGGGACGCGCAGACGATGGCTTTGACGGAGGATGGCACAGTCTACTCGTGGGGGGACGGTGACTTTGGAAAGCTCGGCCGAGGCGGTAGCGACGGCTGCTACGCACCCCTGGTCATAGACCGGCTCAACAGCCTCGGAGTCGTGCAGATCGAGTGCGGCGCCCAATTCTCCCTCGCGCTCACCAAGTACGGCGAGGTCTGGACGTGGGGCAAGGGCGACTACTTTCGTCTGGGCCACGGGAACGACATGCACGTGCGCCGGCCCACGATGGTCGACGGCTTGCGAGGCAACAAGGTCGTGCACGTGGCCGTGGGCGCGCTGCATTGTCTGGCGGTCACCGACACCGGCCAGGTCTACGCGTGGGGCGACAACGATCACGGACAACAGGGCAACGGGATGACCGTCGTCAATCGCAAGCCCTCGCTCGTTCACGGCCTCGAGGACGCAAAGGTCAACAGAGTCGCCTGCGGCTCGAGTCACAGTATCGCGTGGGTGCTAACCGACCAACCGACCATCGACAACCAGGAGCCCGTCACTTTCCCCACGCCCAAAGATCCGCTGGGGGAAGCCACGCTCGGTCTCGTGCACCATCACCATCATCATCACCAGGACAAGAGCGAGCCAGCACCGGTAATGACGAGCGTCAGGCCGTCCCTTGCTCACATCGTCCTCTCCCTGGAGAGCAACGTCGCGAAACAGCAGGCTCTGCAGCACGTCATAAATGCCCTGTCCATCATGCAAGCGCGGACCGCAGTTGTGACGGCTCTGCAGAGTCACATAGCTCAAACGAGCAACGGCAAAGGGAACGCGTCCCCGGAGCCGCAAGACGCAACGATGAGCTCGAGCACGGGACCGACGGTTCGTTGGGGTAGCAACGACGTTATCGGAGAAATCGCTCAGGGTGGTGGCGAGAGTCTGGCTAATGTCTCCGAGGTTGCGAACATTGTCGCGAGTCTTCGAGCCACTCCCGAGTCCGAGGACTTTCCCCTGGCCAACTTTTCGTCGTCCATGTCGATGTCGAGGTCAATGTCGTCCAGCAGCGCGATGAGCGTCATCGCGGCGACTCTAACTTCGAATGCTCAGGTCGTTGGTGAAGCAACGAGCTCGGAACCGGGTCTCGACGAGTTCACATCTCAGGTGAGACCGAGTTTTTGTTTTTGTTTTTGTTTTTGTTCACAATAGTAAGACTTCTTCAATAATGTTCATCGTTATAGCTGACGGAAGATGACGCGCGAATGCTCGTGGATCTGCTGAAGCTCGCGGTGGCCAATCGAGTTTGCGAAGGCGCCAAGGAGACTTTGTCCTCCGTATTGACGGCTCTGGGCAAAACAAATCACGCGATCGGCGCTATGTTGCTAGAGCTGTGCGTGACGGAGCTCGAAGATACGGCAGCGAATTCCAATTGCAAGAACATGCTACCGCAGCAGGTGGTCCAGGAAACTCCACATCCTTACATAGACGACACTGTTCTTCAGGGACACGTCAAGATACCGGGAGCCGAAGCCTTGAGGATAGAATTCGACAGGCAGTGCTCGACCGAGAGAACCCACGACCCACTGGTGATAATGGATGGATTGGGAAGAGCCGTTGCAACCAAATCCGGTAGGGAATGGAGCGAGTGGTCCACAGAAATTAAGATCGAAGGTTGGATGAAAAACGCATTTTTGATGGTTAATCTGTTTGAATTAAATTTATTATCGAGAAAAAAAAAAAAAAAATTGAAACAGGTGACGAGATGCGCTGGCGTTTTTCGGCAGACAGTTCGGTGAACGGTTGGGGCTGGCGTTTCACCGTCAATCCGACGTTTCCTAGTCTAGAGTCCCAAGAACTGGGCTCGGATCGAGCTGTCCTCTCTCAACCGTCCATGGCCTTGGCCGAGTGCCTCCTCGACAACAGCTTGATCGGCCTCGACAAGAATATCACGACCCGATTGGCGGTCGCTCTCGCTCAGTGCAGTCAACTGAGCAATCTCGATACCAACCAGCGAATCTGGGCATTGAGAAAACTCCAGGTTATTGGCCAATACCATCATGCCCAGTCTGGCTCGTCACTTACGAATCTATTGGGATCGCTGCCCCAAGCTCTGCTCAGGCAGTACGAGTACGAGGATCCCATAGTCAGAGGTGGCAAGCAGCTCATGCACAGCGATTTCTTCAAGGTTCTCGTTGCCTTGGCTTGTGATTTGGAATTGGGTACTGAAAAAAAAAAACATCCAATCGTTTCGCGTTGATCAAAAACTTTTTCTAAATAAACTTTATTCCCACAGATACGATGCAGTGCTGCTCCGAGATTCACAAATGGTCGTGGTTCCGTCGATACTGTCTCGCAGCTCGGGTAGCCAAGTCCCTGATCAATCGTACCCAATTGCCGAAAGCCTTTTGTCTCGAAGTCGCAAAACGCATAAACGAAATGGTTATTGCCGACAGCAACGCCAACAACAGCCACGAAAACCATAACATCTTCAAGCAAGAGCACGACGAGCAGTTGCTGCAGTGGTTGAGTCGACGGCCCGAAGACTGGACCCTATCTTGGGACGGTTCGGGCGCAATTTACGGCTGGGGTCACAATCACCGCGGACAGCTGGGTGGCCTCGAAGGCGCCAAGATCAAACTACCCTTGCCCTGCGAAAGCTTGTCTGCTCTGAGACCCATACAACTGGCCGGTGGGGAACAAACGCTGTTTGCCGTGACTGCAGACGGGAAAGTTTACTCGACGGGTAAGCGTGCCCTGCTTCAAAAAGAGCAATCACAAAAATAATAATAATAATAATAATAACAATAATAATAATAATAATAAAAAAAACACTTCATTTCCAGGATATGGTGCAGTCGGTCGACTTGGTACAGGAGGCGTAGAGTCGCTGACGGTACCGACTTTGTTGGAGTCAATTCAGCACATATTCATTAAAAAAGTCGCAGTAAATTCAGGAGGCAAGCATTGTCTCGCGTTGAGCTCGGAGGGGCACGTTTACTCGTGGGGAGAAGGAGAAGACGGAAAGCTAGGTCATGGGGACAAGGACACGCACACCCGTCCAAAATTAATCGAGGCTCTATTGGGAACGGAAATCCGAAACATAGCTTGTGGTGGCCACCACAGTGCGGCGATATCGAGCGCCGGCTGGCTGTACACGTGGGGCAAAGGTCGTTACGGGCGCTTAGGACACGGCGACAGTGACGACAAGTACAGACCGGCTGTCGTGACGGCTCTTCAAGGCTACAAGGTCATCGACGTGGCCTGCGGCAGTGGCGACGCTCAAACTCTTTGCGTCACGGACGATGACAACGTTTGGAGTTGGGGCGACGGGGATTACGGGAAACTCGGCAGAGGCGGCAGCGACGGCTGTAAAGTGCCTATGAAGATCGAGTCGCTTGCCGGTCTCGGTGTTATCAAAGTCGAGTGTGGCAGCCAATTTTCCGTAGCTCTCACGAGATCGGGAGCTGTTTACACATGGTGGGTCTACTTAATTTTCATTCTTCAAACGGTTTTCCATCATAAGGAGTAGACAAAGAAATTTTTTTATTTTTTGCAGGGGCAAGGGCGACTACCACCGTTTGGGCCACGGCACCGATGACCACGTGCGCCGACCGCGCAAGGTGTCCGCTCTGCAAGGCAAAAAAATCATTTCCATCGCCACGGGATCGCTGCACTGCGTCGCTTGCTCGGACAAGGGCGAAGTGTACACTTGGGGCGACAATGACGAAGGCCAGCTCGGCGACGGCACGACCCACGCTCAGCAAATTCCACGACTGGTGCACGCGCTTCAGGGTAAAAATATAACGCGCGTGGCCTGCGGGAGTGCGCACTCTCTTGCCTGGAGCACGACCAAAGTTTCGCACAGCTTGCCTGCCGCTACGCCGATGGAGTACGATCTCGTCAAAGACTTGCCGTTTACGGCTTTGCACAAAAGACTCGTGCTGTTGCATCACTTTGCGGAAATGCTGTGTCCCAGTTTGGCCATGTTCCCTACGGCGGGTGACATGGGACTCAGCGAGCTCGCCCCGATTCTCGTTTACACCATCAAAGAGGCGACATTCCGAAAAGTCGTGCAGGCAACCATGGTCCGCGACAAACAACATGGGCCTATTATAGAATTGAACAGAATCCAAGTTAAAAAAGCTAGAAGCAAGGGTGGATTCGCCGGGCCCGATGGAATCAAGTCCGTTTTTGGGCAAATGGTCTCCAAGATGTCGCTTCTCACGCAGGAACATTTCTTTTTGCCCCACCGAGTTTGGAAAGTCAAGTTTGTGGGCGAGAGCGTTGACGACTACGGCGGTGGGTACAGCGAGAGCATCGCCGAGATGTGCGACGAACTACAAAACGGCTCTTTGCCTCTGCTCATACCCACGCCAAATGGGCGGGACGACAGTGGCACGAACCGGGACAGTTTTTTATTGAACCCTACAGCGAATTCTCAGCTGCACATGAGCATGTTCCAGTTCCTCGGGGTCCTCATGGGCATTGCCATCAGGACTGGCAGTCCGCTCGATTTGAATCTAGCTGAGCCCGTGTGGAAGCAGCTGGCTGGTATTCCGCTGACTCCGGCTGATCTCACCGAGGTCGATAGGTCTTACGTACCCGGGCTTTTGTGCATCCGAAACATGGATACGAAGGTTTTCCAGACCCTCGAAATGCCATTTTCGACCCCTTCGGCCTACGGACACGACGTGCCTTTGTCCACAAAGTATCGCATGATCACACCGGATAATAGGCACGAGTACGTGCGGCTGGCCTTGAATTACCGATTACACGAATTCGACGCACAAGTTGCTGCGGTTAGAGATGGAATGGCGAAAGTGGTCCCAGTTCCTTTTCTTTCGCTCTTTAGCGGAAACGAGCTTGAAACCATGGTGTGCGGTAGCCCCGACATTCCTTTGGGTTTGCTCAAATCTGTCGCCACTTATAAGGGTACGTTTACTTTGTTTGATTGTTGCTTTTTCTCCAACGATAACACCATACGTTCGATTTAGGTATCGAGCCAACCTCTGCTCTGATCCAGTGGTTCTGGGAAGTCATGGAGGAGTTCTCCAATCAGGAAAGGTCTCTGTTCCTGAGATTCGTGTGGGGCAGAACGCGCCTCCCTCGCACCATTGCCGATTTTCGCGGACGGGATTTCGTTCTTCAAGTAAGTCCGACCGATTATTTTCAAGTGTATTTAACGTGTAAATCATGCCGATTGTCTTTATTTTAGGTAATGGACAAGTATAATCCACCGGATCACTTCTTGCCGGAAAGTTATACGTGTTTTTTCTTGCTGAAAATGCCGCGCTACACTTGCAAAAGCGTACTCCGTCAGAAGCTCAAGTACGCGATACACTTTTGTAAAAGCATCGACACGGATGAATATGCCCGAGTCCAGGCGGCTGATAGTTCGGACAGTCTCGAAGAACTTTAATTTTACACCCATCATTTTTGTTTGATAGGACTGTTGGTTTTCTTTTCCCACTAGTTATGGTTTTTTTTTCCGTTTAAATTATTTCCATGTACAGATCTCGATAGAAATTGTTTTTTTTTTTTTTTCTTTATAAAATTGAAACATTTCTTTAACCGCTTTGTAATATTCTTTCAAGTGAGTTTTGCGGAAAAAAAATACATTACACCTATGAGGAAGCACAAGTGAAGAACGTTTTATTGTCCACCTCGAATCAAGAGTGCGTCGGTACATTTTATTTGAGTATTAGCAACTGCAGTTATATTTTGTTTTAATTGTATTATGCAAATGTGATATTAAAATTAAAAAAAAAAAAAAAAAAAAACGCGATAGATGCTTAAGATATTGTAAAATTATTTGAAATGAAATAAATTTTAATGTGAAGAATTTGATAGTACATCAACATGCTTTTCTTTCACAACGTATATTCCCTTTGTTTTTTTTTTGTTCCCAATCACAGTTTTAGCGATTCTCTGATGGTGTGCCATTGCCCTTGCCCCCCTCAATCCACACACATACACGGTACACACATATAGGTATGTAGCTGATTAAAAAGTTGGCCATTTTTTTCGTCCATTTCGTTCCTCCTCCTCCTCCTCCTCGTCCTTTTAGCTACATATACTGATGCCCGATGCACACAACCGGTTGCACAAAGGGGAAAGAGAGAACTTCTCCGGCCGCGCCCCGCGTATGGCTCTTTTCTTTCTCTCTCGCGTCAATTGCCCTTTGTTCGCCTCTCTCAAACTGTTTTTTTGTTCCCTCGCTCTGTTCGCCGATTGACCGGCCGATCAAGTGTATATATACAGCAATGCACACTTTTATTCGTCACCGCTGCAACAGGTATAAGTTTTTTTTTTTTTTCTCATACACTTTGTATATAGGTACAACTCCAGTGAGGGCTCAATTAATTAAAGCGATTCTCGAGAGCGCGTCAATTAAAATTGCACGGCGTTTGAGTATATAACACAGGCTTTTTATGCGTGCAATGTGACGCCCCATAAAATTATTTAACACCATACAATGTTATGTTTGTATTTGGGAGGGAAAAAAAAAAAAAAAAATTATATTCTATCGTTGATTGATCATACCCGTGTGGTGGATTGACAGAAGCCCCTCTCGTCCTGCCCCCCCTCTCCCACCTCTTTTTCTCTCCTCTGTTTGACGTTACCGGTCCACGAACCGTGCACGTGCACCACAAGGGGGCCTTTCGCCGTCTTATTCAGATTGCTGTACGTATCACATACTCATCGCGCCAACCACACGCTCTTGTTTGCGCATAGTGTCTCGATCGTTAGTTTACAGTGGCTGTCACGTAAAGTTCCTTACCGATCTCTACCGATTGTGATTCGATTTATTTATCTTTTTTTTTTTTTTTTTTTTTCTTCTTGTGCTCTTACACCGTAAGTACATACATATAATGTAACTAATCGAGCGTTATCCATGATACTGTACTCTTTGTATAATATATACATACACATACATACACGCGTCACTGTCACTCGTGTACGAAATTTTTATTTATATCTGACGATGCTCGTCTTCTTTGGGTTATTGGCCAATTTAGATAACGTCGCTTAATTTTGCTTATCCATTTATCGAAACCCACACGTGACAAGTACAACCACAACTCTTTGATTAAAGTTGACCCCTTTGTTTCGTCATGTGTAGCGCGAACTTGAACGTTTTCACGCCTCATTTTATACAACAAAAGAAAATAAATTCATAAGTTTATCATTGGTACAAATAACCGACGATGTGTTTACATGTGTGCCAATATATGTATATACATATATTATTGTATACTTTGTACCGACTAACATATTATATATATCAAAAGACCCCCGGCGATTTATGTGCTTCAGTGACAAACAAACACATTATTTGTAATAACGCGGATAAAAAGAAAAAAAAAAAAAAAAAGAAAAAAGGACAGTGTCCGTTTATGCGACTCGGTGTGGGGCACACCGGTTTGCAGTTTTATTGTTTTCCGAATAAAAAGAAGAAGGTAACGGGTGACGCGTGAAAATTTGCAACTCTGTTTTGAATAATCGCACAAAAGCCACGTGAAGTAGTAAAGTAGATACGTGTTTTTCGAAAGGTATAGTTTACGCGCCGCACGACGCATAATTTCACGATCACTCGTCGCGTGTTTTTTTTATTCATTTCGCTCGCTCGATCCCGTTTCTCTTGAATCTCCAATATGTGTTTTCATGTAAAAATAAATACCGACTTGGCGATCGATCGAGTTGTCATAAAAAAGAAAATCAACCGATTTTTGCCGATTTCCAGGTTCTAACGATATTTAAAAATTTATTTAAAAAAAAAGCACAACTCGAAGAAAAAGAAAACAACCAATAATTTGCAAACTGCACGAGTTGGCAAACTCGAATTCAAAACTACTACTTATCATATATACATCAAGTATACGTACGCGGCTCCTACACGGAGAGGAAATCTTGTTCCCCAACAAAAATTCCCTGCTCTCGTGTGCCCGCGCGTATGTACATATTATATACACACGAACGAAGGCACATTCATGCGCGAGTGCATAAATCGAGTCGACGACCCCGTACGATGCACGAGCTGAACTTCTTAATCATCCATTACTGTTGATGTTGTTGTAATGAACACGACGCGCTATACTTTTATCTCTCATTCCACACGTTGAGAACGATCGGCAAACCGGTGATATGCGCATCTGTAATTTACATTGCAATTAATGAGAGAGAGAAAAATCGCGCTTGTAGCGCTAATCGCACGTGTGTTGTTGTCTGTTTATACTTTTGAGATCGGTACACGTACTATTATTATTAAGTATGTGAGCCGAAAAGGAAGAAAAAAAAAAAAAACTCGCGTTTTGTACGATCAAGAGCACGTTTGGTGTTTGTTGCAAATCAAGGTAAAAACATCATTCTCGATTCCCTCGACATAATATATATATGTATAAAAAACGATCTATTTGTCGCGCGTGCAATCATCGAGAACCGATCCTTCACACGCGCGTATCACTCTATATCCTGTTTTTTTTTTTTTTTTTTTTTTTTCAGAAAGACAAAAAGAGAGCAAGTATAGAGTCCTCGGGCGCAAAATGCATCGCGAGAACGAAGTTACACTCTTGGGGAGAGCAACGGAGCACGCGGCCGATAATAAAACATTATAAAGAGAGCTGCGACCATGGGCAGGGGCAGCAGAGCACAACAGTTCGCGAGCCTGATAACAAGTCGGGCCGATGAGATGCTGCGCGCAGCCACAGTTAAGGTAAGTGATTTTTTTTTTTTTTTTAGTTCACTTAACTAATTCTTTTACTTTGAGGATTGAAACACCCAAAAATATTAAATAGAAAATCCGCACTAAGTATAAAAGGACACTCGTCGTCCTGTCTCGGGCCAACATCTGTTTCCACTGACATTGCACTCGAAGGTAAGGGTTTTTTTTTTTTTTTTTTTTTTATTGGTAGTCTGGCTTTTTGCTCTTCCTATATGTGTTGCTGCGTNTTTTTTTTTTTTTTTTTTTTTTTTTTTTTTTTTTTTTTTTTTTTTTCTCGGGTGCAGGATTTCGCATTAGTTTTTCTCACTACTTTTTTTCCGAAGAAGTATATCGGGAAGGTGCATAATTCACTCGGTCCCTCTTTTTTTTTTTTTCTTTTTTCTTTAGCCAAAGTTTACAAAATCGCACGAAAATGAATAACGATTATTCACAAATTTCAAAGAAATCACGAAACTTATCGTTGTGTCGTCGCCGTAATCGAAATTACAAAACTGCGGTAAACAGCGTTTAGGGGAAGAAATAACAATTTCGCGATAACGCTTAATCGCGTATCGACCAAAACAAAAAAAAAAAAAAAAAAAGAAAAAAGACGCGCGTCACGGGGGAGTGTGAGCTCGATCGTTTAAAAAATCGGTAATGGCTGGTGTATGCGTATAGACTTGCAAAAATTCCGGGATCAAAGAAAGAAAATTCGTCACAATGACACATTCCTCGCGCGTGCGACTCACTGCACTGCACGTGCTGAGTATAATCATCGTGTATATACATACGTATACCTATAATATATATATGAGCACCCTCGAACACCTAAATGCACGATACAATGGATAACTTATTGTCCCGTGCGTATAATATGTATACGTACACTTAATGCCTACGTGCGGTAGGGATTAACAAAAAAAAAAAAAAAAAAAAAAAAAAAAAAAAAAAAAAAAAAAAAAAAAAAAAAAAAAAAAAAAACGCGATAGATGCTTAAGATATTGTAAAATTATTTGAAATGAAATAAATTTTAATGTGAAGAATTTGATAGTACATCAACATGCTTTTCTTNTACCCAGATTTGGATGGAATTTTTTTATTTTTATTTTTATTTAATTATTGGCACTTAAAATTTGTTTATCGCCGTACATATACTGTCAATATTGCAATGATCGTTTGTTACCACGACTACTCCTAGTTTGATACACGTGAGAGACCGTGTACAAAAAAACAAAAATTGTAAAATTACAGTTGACCGGTAGATGGAACGGGAGGTGGTCGCAGGTGAAATCGGCAAGCAGCGAAGCCGTTGTTAAAAAGCCCGAGCCGTCGATCGATTTGCCCGAAAGTGCGGATGTCGTCGTCATCGGTGAGTAAATTTTCTTTTTCAACCAAACTCACAGACAGCTATGATGATAAAATAATTAACGAACCCAATTGTACAAGTAACGTAACGCACGCTATATATATATATATATATATATATATAAATTTGCCTCTCTCTCCATATAATCACTCATCTCTGACCTTTACGTCTTATCGCCACCACACACGTGTACATTTTTATACATGTATAAAAATAACGATTAATTAAACTTTGGGCGTGGAGGTGGTGGGGTGGCAGGTTGCAGCGCGCTTTACCAATTGGCGAAGCAAGGCCTGCGAGCCGTGCTCCTGGAGCGCTCGAAGCTGACCTCGGGCACGACCTGGCACACCGCGGGCATGGTCTGGAGCCTCCGGCCCAGCGAAATCGAGATACAACTCCTGCGAGCCACCCAAGACACGATAGCCGAACTGGAGAACGAGACCGGGGACAACGTGGGCTGGACGAACAACGGGGGCCTATTTATCGCCCACAACGACGTCAGGATGGACGAGTACCGCCGGCTCGTCGACATGGGCAAGGTACTCGGGGTCGGGGCGCGACTAATCACACCCCACGAGGCCCGCGACCTCTTCCCCCTCGTGAGTCATTAAGTTTATACACGTTGTTGCAATTATTTCAACAAAAATGAAAAAACTACGAATGCGTCCTTGCAGCTCGATCCGGCGGCCTTTCGTGGTGCCATCCACTCGCCCAGGGACGGCTCCCTCGACCCGGCGATGCTAACGGCCGCTCTGAGCAAGTGCGCCCGCAGCCGAGGGGCCAAGTTGGTCGAGAACTGTCCAGTGACGCGCATCCTGACGGACGAGCGCACCTTCGGCTCGAGGCGGGTGAAGGGGGTGGAAACCGAGCACGGGATCGTGCGCACGAGTTGCGTGTTGGTCGCCAGCGGTGCTTGGTCGCGGAGCATAGCGCGAATGGCGAAGCTCGACGTGCCCCTTGTACCGATGAAACACGCGTACATCGTCACCGAGCCGATACCCGGGGCTGTGACTAGGGGCGCACCCAACGTGCGCGACCACGACTACAACATCTACATGAAGGTGCAGGCCGAGACTCTGCAGATCGGGGGCTACGAGGCGAACCCGATAATACTGCGCTGCGTGCCCCGGGACTTTAACTTTGGCCTGTACGAGCTCGATTGGAACGTATTCAACGCCCACCTCGAGTCCATGGTCAAGATCGTGCCCGAGCTCGCGACCACCGGTATCAAGTCGACCGTTTGCGGGCCCGAGAGCTTCACCCCCGATCACAAGCCGATCATGGGTACGTGTCCAATCGAACGTTTGATTGATCGAGAGATACGGTCGGATGATTATTATTCCTCTTTCCTTTTCAGGCGAGGACCCGCGCTGCTCGGGGTTTTTCTACTCTTGCGGCTACAACAGCGCCGGTATGATGTACAGCGGCGGCTGCGGCCAGACCATCGCCGACTGGATCGTTAACGGCAGACCAAAGGACCACGTGTTCCCCTACGACATTCGGAGGTTCGATCAAACATACATATTTTTCATTGTTTCCTTCCTACCATATTAAGTATCCACACTCACCGATGATCTGCCCCTTTTGAAGGTTCACGCCCGAGCAAGCGAGCGACATGGTCTGGGCTAACGAGAGATCACACGAGGCCTACGTCAAAAACTACTCCATCGTGTTTCCGAACGATCAGCCCCTCGGTGGAAGGAATTTCAAAACCAGCTCGTTCCACGATGTGAGTACACACACGTACCTGCTTATATATAATATGCATTAGCGTTGAAAAAAAGGAGAAAGACGAAGGAAATAAAAATACCTACACGTCTTTTTTGCAGTTCCTGGTTAAGGAGGGGGCAGTGATGGAGGAGAGGCAGGGGTGGGAGCGGCCGGGCTGGTTTTTAAAGGACGGGACAGCTCCGGTGCAACCGTACGACTACTACGGGAGCTACGGTACGACGAAAAACCCGAAAAACAGGTACGCCGATGTATTGGCCCAGGACCACACCTTCGACTACCCGGCCCATCACGACATAGTGAGTATTTGACACGAATGAGTCTTTTTTTCTGTCTTTTTTTTTCCTTAAATTGCTCGATTTTCATGTAGATACAAGAGGAAGCCCTCGCCTGCCGTAACAACGCGGTGCTCTTCGACATGTCGTACTTTGGTAAATTCTACCTCTGCGGGCCGGATGTGCAATTGGTGGCCGATTACCTGTTCACCGCGAAAACAGACTCCGACGTCGACAGGATCGTGTATACGTGCATGTTGAACGAACGCGGTGGCATCGAGGGCGATTGCACCGTCACGTGGATACTGCCCGGCTCGAGCGGAGTTGCCGATCCGATCTTCAAGGGCAAAGCCCTCTACGTTGGTCAGTTTCCTTTAATTTTATCGATTGTACTTTTTTTTTTTTTTTTCCTCATCGGACGTATATATATATATACTACTTGCAGTTTCCGGCGGTCTGTCGTCGTACCACACGTGGGCTCACATCCGCCGAGCCATCGCGAAAAAGGGCTTCAACGTCAGTCTGCACGACGCGACCCACCAAATGGGCATTTTGTCGCTCCAGGGACCCAACAGGTCAGCAATATACTTTAACTGTAAAATACAATATGGTATATACGTTATATTTGGAAATTTTTCTCGCGCAGCCAAAAAATACTGCAAAACGTGGTCGACAGCGACATAAGCGACGAGGCGTTTCCCTTCTCAACTTCGAAATTGATGCGGGCCAACGGCAAGTTGGTCCGAGCCTTTAGAATTAGTTTTGTGGGCGAGCTCGGTTACGAGCTGCACATTCCACTGCAGTCCTGCGAAAAAGTTTACCACGGGCTCGTGGAGCAAGGGAAACAAATGGATTTCAAGTTGGCCGGTTACAGGGCGCTCTACGGGCTTAGTTGCGAAAAGGGTCAGTTGTCACACCTGCTTTGCGGGAAAAAAAAAGATGTATGAAATGTTCTCCTTTATATCTTTATAGGCTACCATTTGTGGAATGCGGATTTGAGGTCGGACGATAATCCTATTGAGGCAAACTTGGGATTCACGTGTAGAAAAGATGGTGGGTACTTGGGTAGCGAAGCTGTTGAAAACTTGCGCAAAAACGGGGTCAAAAGGAAATTTGCCATTTTACATGTTAAAGAGTAAGTGTCGGCTGTGATGATTGTGGAAAAAGTGTGGAAATTATTATTATTATTATTTTTATTTTTTTTTTCATTTGCAGCAAAGTACCGTTGTGGGGTATGGAAACGGTTTATAGAAATAAAGAAATCGTTGGCTACTTGCGTAGAGCTGAATACGCTCCACATTTTGGATACAGTATTGGACACGCGTAAGTCACCACAAGGATTGATTGTACAATTTTTACCATTGGAAACTTTATTTAATATATACTTTCAGATACGTGAATCATCCCAATGACGATATTGTGACAAACGAGTTTCTAGAGTCTGGAGAGTACGAGGTCGAGGTGTTGGGCAAAATGCACCCAGCTGAAATATATTTAAAGAGTCCATTCGACCCCCAAAATAAAAGGCTGTTAAATCATTATGATCAATTGTAAAACTTTGTATTTTTATACGATTGTTATTTTTACACGCATTCCATGACAATTTTTTTATGCTTATGTACAAAGTCAATTTACTAACGATATTTATAGATATACTATTTTAAATGTACATAAATTAAATACAAAAACTTAATCGTGTAAAATAGTTTTTATTTAATGAAGAGTAAATGTTTTTAACATTATAACATTGTGTACAACTTTTTAAATAATTTTACAAATAAACCTTGAGAGAAAATCGCTGTTTCCTTTTTAAATCGTACTTGATAGGTTCGACTTTCTCCTGAAAATAACAGAATTGAAGAAATTCCGGAGCATTCATAGATAAGTTGATCGAATTGTCGATAAAATAGTCAATCTTCACTTTATTCGTTTTTAAGAAATGTTACGGCAGGTCCGATCGGCTACTGTTGGTGGTACCGATACCACCATGTTACTGCCCAATTGAAAAGTACCAGTAAATAATGAAAAAAATTTCTACTGTAAATTACTCGAAAAACCACATAAAAGGCGGTTACTTAAAAAAATTGATGTTTCGTATTGTTCTTCATTAACTGGAGCGAGTCATCTGGATGGTGTATATGGACGTACCTCTGACAACACCAAGTGTTTGCCGTCCGACCAGGTTGTTTTCACGATTGTGCTAACGGATTGGCATGTATCGTTACTGTAAGCAACCTCGTATCTGTAAGTGGTTTAAAATTTTTTGGAGCAACTGGCAATTTCTCCAATTGTTCTAGAGTATCAAAACCATCGATGACTCTGAAGAGAAAAAAATCCAAATCAAATTAACTTAATGTTAATCGTTTTTAGCTTAATTTTATCAATGTAAGTTTCTTACTTTCCAAAAAGAGTATACTTTAAATCCAAATGTGGCTGTGGGGCATACAAAATGAAAAATTGCGAACCATTCGTGTTTGGCCCATTATTAGCCATTGAAACAAGTCCTCTGGCATTGTGTTTTAATTCCTCTTTAAACTCATCCTCAAACTTTTTATTCCAAATAGATGTGCCACCTTTTCCTGTATTCGTTGGATCTCCAGTTTGAACAATAAATCCCTTGATGTTTCTATGGAATGTGCAGTTATTGTAATAATCTGATGCACAAAGTGCAAGGAAATTCTAGAAAATTTCAGAAAATTCAATTAAGTGCTGAAAGCGTTTTTTATTGAAAAAAAAAAAAAAAAAAACAAAAAAAAAATAGGTTCCTATAATTCACAACATCTATGTGTATACTAACTAGATAAGGTTAAGTAGGAAAATTATAACTATACTTGAAATTATCGTGATTAATAGCAATAAATGAGTAATTTAGAAAATACCTCGCATGCTTTTGGACACGACTCACAAAATAATTCTATTTTAATATCACCAACGTCTGTATGTAAAGTTACGCTCTGGAAAACAAATTATCTTGACATTAAACGAAAGCAGAAAAATAAAGAAATACGTAAAAATTTTTTACAATCAATACCATGGATTACCATTTTTTAAGTTTTATCACACTCTCATTGTCAGAAAATTCAAAAATTATTATTAAGTAAACAATTAACACGTATTGACATTTATTATTGCAGATATTTTATACAAACCAAATGTAAGTAATAATAGACGACCTCTCGACACTCTCGACAGTCTCGACTCTCGACCAGACTTACGATTTACGATTTACGATCTTACGATCTCGACTTCGATATGTCTAATCGAGTTCGAGTGTTCCATCGTACTCGCGGGAAACTCAAAAAACTTTGAAACTCGCAATTCGTGAATAAAGAACGAACACGTTTGTTGCACAAACCTAGATAGATAAGAGTATTCGAAAAAGAAGCAAAATGCTATTTGCTTTTTTTACAATTAGTAAAATGGCGTTGATAATGTTGATATCAACCCCTTCAGTACCTAAAAGAAAGGAAACAAAAGAAAAACGCGAAAAACAGGTAACTAGAATTTTTCGGCCTGAGCCCTGAGCCAAAGAGCGATCGCCAAAGAGCAACGGAAGTTGCAAGTGCCTTTTTAAGGTACCATTGATGCCGGCATTTTAAAATGAAGATTAATTTTTCGTATTATTACTCATAATGCGCATTAAAGTCATTGTATACGCACTTAAACTTATTTCCGTACAGTATACATGCAGAGATTAATTAATAGGGTGTATGGTATCATTATGGTGAGAACACCGAGAAAAAGTGACCGTTCTTTTTGTATTGATCGCAATGCAGGTGCTAGACATGAAGGTCCGATCTGTTGAACAAGTTCGGCGTAAGTACTTAACTCATATCCATTATCCACCCACCCCCAGCACCCCCCTGCGTTTTAGGTTATCCGTATAGAGCAATAAAACGAGCCTGTGGCGACGCGACTAGTGGCGAGAGCTCCCGATAAGAGTCGAGTCGAGAGAGAGTGTGTATGTGCCGCTGTGCGCCTCGAATCTCGCCATCTTGAGCAAGCGGAATCTGCGGAATTGCCGTGGCTGTGTATACACATACACTGCGTGAACCAGACAAAGACAGAAATAAGGACAGAAAGAGACAAGAGATAGTACCCCATTGTGTGTGTGTGTGTGTGTGTGTGTGTGTGTGCGGCAGAGCAGAGCACGACGACGACCCCGAGGAAAGTGAAGAGACTTCGTGGCGTGTTTAATAGGCGCGGCGCGTTGCGGCCTTTTTTTACAAGTTGAAGCAAAAATAATCAACGAGGTTTTTGTTGTTGCCGTTGTTGCAAGTTGCAAGAGGCCACACGCGCGCACACACGTTGTTGTATAAATAAGAACTGTAGACTGTATCACTGTAGTTACACGCGAAGAAAAAGGAGTCAGGTTTTCACACAAGTGCGAGATACATAGATCGAGAAAGAGAGCGGGGAGTGTACGTGTGTGTGTGCGTGTGCGGGTTTTTTTCACTGCGAGAGCGCCGAGAGCCCCAGAGAGCAGCGTGCACGCCGAGAGAGCGGCTGCAGGAAGAAAAAAAAATCCCTGTGGACGGTCAGCGCAGCAACATCCAAGTGTAAAATTGTGTGTTTACGTGTGTATGTGCAGTGCATCAGCGTCGAGCAGTTCACCTCTAGGAGAAGACGCGCGCTAGCGCCGCGTCGTCAAAAAGCCACACGCATAGGTATAACATATACACGCACCTGGTACTATAGCAGCAGTGCACAGAGCCAACGAAGCAGGTTATATAGTCACCAAGTCACCCAGAGATCATCGTAACCACGAGGGGTATACACCTATATACTTTCACACACAAGAGCATCGGATCATAGGTATCAGAGTGTAGGTGCAGTGTGCGCGTGATTCGTCGAGTGCGGGTGAGGATAACCCGGAGGCAAGCGTCTATCTATTTCTATACCTCGTTGGATTTGGGACTGACTCGAGGCCCCGATTTTCTGGAATCGTGAACCCATTTGGACGGACCAAGGTGAGTTAATCACGTCAACGCAGCCTTATCCTGCCAATCCTCTAGGTTCTCGTTGACCTCCCTCCCGCGACTCCTCTCTCTCCTCCTCTGTCTCTCCCTTTCATATAATCTAAAAGAGGTTCATGAACGCTTATCATCGTGTGAACTTTGGCCTGGCCATATACCTACAAATGGATCGCATGTTCTGAGCTCCGACACGCTGTAATAGAACCAGCAGGTGCTGCAATAGAGCTTCCTGCGCGTGTAAGGCCGATTTTTTTCTTTTTTTCTTCTGCGTCACGTTTCAAGTATGCTTGCAATCTCAAAGGAAAGGATAGGATATCATGATAAGTAATGCGCAAAAGTTTTCTACAGGCGACTCCTCTTTCGTTTGCTCTTTATAGGTAATTTGGAAGACTTCTAGCTTCCACGGCGACGTACGAAAAGCGCACACTCGTGCACGTCGTCCTGGTCATTCCCTGTGTGCGCACTGCACTTGGAGATGTATATACATATGTGTATATATCTATTTATCCCTGTCGGATTGATTCCCCGCGACGACTGGAATGTCCCCCCTTTGCTCCTTTTTCTTCCTCTTTTGTGTACACGTTACATGTACATGTATATGTGGGCAGTGTATATACAATACGTGTTCCGCTTCTGCTGCTTGCTCCATTCCATTCCCATTGCCGCTCTTTCGACATTCTTAGAATCTCTCTCTTGCTTGCCTCGTCCTTTTCCTATACTTCGCTCTCCTTGCTTTGAAATTTTTTTTTTCTTTTGTGCACTTCCTTTTGCTCCAATCCGTTGCTCCGCACTTATTTTTTACTCTTTGCTCGAGACGCGCATGCAAGAGTGTATTGAAGGGATACCTAGGCTGGAGCAAATAAACTCTCACACGCAGGTTAAAGTAGAGAGAGGGAGCAAAGGAGATGTGGAAATGACAAGGAAGACGGAGAGAAATACAGCTAGAGTATAGTAACTATATGTATATAGGGAATTAGGGAGGCCCCTTACGGAGCGTAAACGGAAGGAAGGAGACGAGTCGGAGGAACAAAGCTTGCCTGCTTATGTGCTTACGTGCTTACGTGTTTAGTTACAGTATACCTAGGTATATACGTATATGCATTTACAGACTTTGCAGGGCCAGCTCTCCCCGAGATTTCTTGTGGCGCGGAGAGAGAGACCTCGCGTCAGAGCGGCGGCGGCCAGCGAACTCTGCTCCGTCGGCATCACACACACACGCACGCACACCACCGACCTTGTCTCTCTCTCTCACTCTCTTTTTCTCTCCTTGCGGAGGCCGCCTGCACCGCGGATATCGCTGCTGCTTTTGTGTCTATATGGCTCGGCGCGGTATTTTACGTGCTTAACATTTTGCCTTGTAAGGGTAAACTTGCTCCGAAAGAAACAGCAGCAACAGGAATGGGATGAAAGAAAAAAAAAAAAAAAAAATTAGAGGCAAGCGCGCGACGCCCACGATGTGTCCTTCTATCCCTTCGGTTTACCGTATTCAATATACTCCCCCGCAATCCTCCAGACTCGCTTGTTCGTCCTTTACTTGTCAGAGGAGAGAAAGAGAAAAAACGGAGCCAAGATAGAAAAAAAAAAAAAAAATTAAGATGACAAGGAACGACGCGCAGAGATAGCGAGAATTGTTGTGGTGTGTGTATATATATGCGCGCTGGATGGGATTTCACGCTTCAATGGGTACCAATAATTATTTTTTTTCAATACCCGACCCTCCTCTTAAAAGTATACCCACTCATGTTCTCGCGGTGTAAGTATGGCGCATAGACACAGCTCTTTTCTCTACACCCGCACGCTCGCCGCGGTAGATAGATGTGCCATTGATGACCCTTTAAATTTTAAACGTATCAGAAACAGGAACAAGACCAATAGAAAGGGGGTCAAGCAAGAAAGAGAAAAAAGGGTCTGCTAGTGATGGTTTGTTTGTTTTCCCCTAACAATGTAATATATATCAAGGACGAAAATGACATGAATGACGATTAAATATAAAATTAAATTTAAACATCGGTCTAACGGTAATTAATAAGAGTTGTGTATCAATTCTGAGAATCTTAAATTCTAGTTTACTGGTGCTCTCAAAGCATCTATAGTACTGGACTCCTATTGTGCGATTGTGTTCGAAAGCTGATGTGTGTATGAAAAGAGACGAGATTACGAATACGAGTCATAGTAAACGACCTCATGTTACCTATCAGAGAGGTGCCGACGTCGTCGAAACCTTTTCTTTCTTTCGCTCATCGCCGGATTGGATTGCAGAAACTGCGTTACTTTTTCGCTCAGGGTATAATAATAATAATATACGCATATTCTTTGAATCGATCGAGGTTGCTTACAGAGTGATTTGCAGAGGTGTTGTTGAAAAATGTAGAAAATCACGCTACTCGTTCATGTTTGTCGTGTCCTGTGTCGCCGTTGTATTTTGGAGTCGTGGCAAAACTTGACGACACCTGGCTTCCCGCTGTTGTAGAAAGTATGCAAAACTTTTTACATTGCACCAATCAATTGAAATAAAAGTTCTTCTGTTGCTTCCTAACTTAGGTTATGTTTTACACGGTACAAACCGTTTATTTTTAGCTCCAATGTAAACTGTGCTCCAAAGTGTATGGTTGAAACATTCCAAAAGCCCACGAACCTTGTATTTGTATATATGTGTAGAGCTAATGAAATGATACATCTGCAAACTATGCTGAATGCTTTATTAATGTAACTTTTGTAAATGTAAATCTGCATCTTTTGTTTTCAGACAAAGGGTTCGTTCGTTGGGTCTGAGAAAGACTAAATGGTTGCCTGCAGACAGCATGTCTACTCTGTCGGGGATTGTGTCGAAGGGGGAGAAAGGAAAAACAAAGTACCAATCTATAGATATCAATAGTTTGTACACGTCAAGCAGGGTAAGTTTCACACATGGCCTCGTGTAGAAAAAGTATTGACATCTAATTCACGTGTGTTGCTGGTTTTAGGGAGAGTCTTCGGAACAGCAACAGCAGAAAAGCACAGTACCCCGCAAACATGGAATGCAAAGCTTGGGAAAGGTGCCCTCGGCGCGGCGACCACCTGCTAACCTGCCCAGTCTGAAAAGTGAAACCAACAGCAGCGATCCAGCTGTTAATATCGTACCGAGCGGCGGAAGCGGTTGGGCCACGACCAAGGACACTGCACCTACAACTAATACCGTAACAACCACCACCCCACCAGACAACACACCTGTAAGTTTTTTTAACAAAATTTGTATCCTGACGTTAATCAATGTTTGCAAAACTCACGGATCATTTGATTTTGCTTGCAGACCAACTCACCGGCACAATGCACGACAGGACCTCTTGCGTCTCTGACGCCACAACAGCATCCACCACTGCCAGGGCAACAGTCTCCACATCCGTTGGAAGCAGGAAACAAGTCATCATGGAGTGCGATTATGAGCAGATCAGGAGATGCTGGTTAGTTGAAATTTTCATCTCAATTTTTTTACTTTGGCTGCAGAAAAGTAATGTAATCTTCTTGATTAAGTTTTCAAGTTGACATTTGGATCCTGTATTGGTTTATAGGGCTAAAAAGAATACATCAATTTAATATTAATGCAACGTTTTCTATTAAAAAAAGCATTTATCAAGTTTAAAAAATTTTTGGTCAATAAGGGAGGAAGGAATTAACAATTTTCGGGAGTTGGAAAAAAAAAAATATAATACAGTGCGTTGTATGATGACAATTTAAAAAACCAACGAATAAAAAAAAATAACTGTGGCTACAGCAGTTGGTTACGCGGGCCTCGTCGAGTCAGGAAGAGCGCGAGGTACTGTTGGGATGAATTTCCTAGCCTATCAGTCCCCACAGTTCCAGCACGAATTCCCGAGCTTAAGCGGCGGTGGCGGCGGCGGACAGTCTTCTGCTTCCGCCTCCTCGGTCTCTGCTCAGCAGAGTCCGACCGGCCAACAGCAGCTAAACTCCTCCGCCACAGCGACAAACGCAATCTCGAGCGCTGTGCAGAGCAACCAATCCATGTTGCAGCAACAGTCTTATTCTTACAATCACACAGGTGGGCCATTCCGTGCTTGCCAACCATGTGTTGTTAGTTGTGCTGCTGTAGACATAGATTTGATGACAATTTTTCTTCTCGTTTCGTTTATTGCAAGACGTATATAATGTATGGCACTTTTTTTACCTCCTCGACCTTACTATCCACTATAGTTTATCGTTGTTTCGATGTTGTTTACTTTGTTGTTGGTTGTATTATGGTATTCAGAAAGGTATCGTATCCAACTCTGACATCTTGGGAACCTAATTTTTCTCAAATCAAAATCATAATATTTTTTCCGCTTCTGATTGTAGTTTTGTTTCAACAGTTGAAGCATTAATGGGAATGATGCTTTTTTATCATTCAGTAGGATATGCATCAATTAATGTCTTTTTTTTATATTTAGCTTTTTAACTTGTAGCGAATGTAATAGCGCATAGAATGTTGTCTATAATTATTTGATTACTCATGTGTTGATTTTTTTCAACCATACTATCAAAAGTTCTATAAATCATGCACCTATTACGTGATATTGATTAATTTTGTGTTTGCTGTGAGTTTTATCAGTGAATTAGTTTAATCACTATCGCACAAAAATAATTTGTTTTTATTAGTTTGTTGTTTAAACGTTGTCATGCAATCGTTTGAAAGTGTAACTAAACTGAATTTTACAACACAGGAGGTGGACCACCAGGTCAACAGCCACAACAAAATCGAGAAAACGCACAGTATGGCCCTGGTCCAAGTCTACGTCCACAAAGTAAGCATGAAAAATTGAAGTCAATTGAATGAATAAAGTCATGAAAATTCGCAAAGTATATTTTTTTAACATCGTTTGTTTGTTTGTCTGATTAGCCGAAGGAATCTGGGTGCAAGGTGGAAGCCGTATACCGGGCGGGGCAGGAGCCGGGGCAGCAGCAGGAACGGCCGGAGGTGGGAGTATTCCGGTGGGCCAGGGCCCCCTGCCTGGCCATGGCGGTCCAGGAGTTTCAGGTCCAGCCGAGATAGCCACTGGCGGACGACCGAACTTGGTCCAGTCGCCAGGCATGGTCTCGGCCCAGGGAGGCCAATATGACGGGCCAAACAACCAGGCCCGTCAGCCTGCAAATCAAGTCGGGCCGGACATGCATCACTACAGAGGAATCGTTCCTCCATTCGTGAGTATTTTTCGCTTTGTTTTTTTTTTGTTTTTTTTTTTTGGTTTTTTTTTTTTTTTTTTTTTAAACTTGAATTGTTAAATTTATCATCTATGCTCTTCCAGATGTTTAAAAGTAATAACTTCCAGGCCGGCAATTTTCCGGCACAGTTTCCAGCGAGTGGTATGCGTGCCCGCTTCGTTTACCCGGATCGGCCCCCTGGGCCGCAAACACGTCCGGAGCGCGAGCGTGCACCACCCATCGAAGAGGAAGTATCAGCAACGGCACCACTCAGACCAATCATCAAGGAAGAAGATTTGTCACGTATGGATGACATCTCACGCGACGCTGGCTGGACTGCCTCTGATGATATAGATTACAATCAGAAACTGACCTTTAGCGACGATGAGATGGAAAATGATGCATTGTCGTCAAGCGCCGCTAAAAAAGAGGATGTCAGGAAAGAACAGGACAAACAGGAAGACAAAGAGTTGAGTGCTCGAGACAAGGAGCACAAGGAGAGTAGCGGTCCCGGAAGAAACGAGCCTAGAGGGGATCTTAGAAATGAACCCAGGATTGAAGCTAGGAACGAACCTAGAAATGAACCCAGGAACGAGCCCAGGAATGATCACAGAAGTGACATGCAGGTACTGCGCTCGTGGAACAATCAGGGTCCGATGCCACGTGACTTTCGTGGAGCGCCTGGACCACTACCTCTCAACTACCCGCTTCAGCAATCAATCAGACCCAACCCCTTCAGAGGTTAGTTTATTTCTTACTTAACACAAATACTTCTGATAATTGTAACTGTGTTTTGTTTTACTCATCGATTAATTTTTTGTTGCCCAGATCAAGACGAAGAGCTTTACAATCAGCGCCGTCGTGAGCAAGTCAACGAGAAAATTATTTCTGCTGTTGAACGTGCCCGTCAGCGCAAAGAAGACGAAGAGAAGCGCTTCCAAGAATCGACCAAGCAAGCTGCGGCCAAAAAGCTCCAAGATCTAGAGAATAAAATGAAAGAGAAGAATAAGATAAAAGAAAAGGAAGAGGAACACCAGAGCGGTCAATCTCACGACGCAAGTAGCAAGTCTGGATCAGGCTCTGCATCCACGACGCCCTCAACCATCATACCCATACCTGACTGGGAACGGGAGCGTGAGGCCCGTGAAACGCGCGAACGTTCACGCACCTTGTCCTCTGAGGGAGGAGCTAGCAAGGATATGGAGGGTCAGAAGGGAGGCCGCGATCAAGTGACAAGTGAGTTCCGCCAGATTGACCGTCCCTCTTTCGTGCGCCAGCAGCAGCAGGTCGCCGAGCAGTCGTCCTCATCACTGCCTTCCGGCGGCCCTGGCACGGGTAATAGCCGCGATCGCGATCAGTGGGACACGAGGGAGCCTGCCTTCTCTCGACAGTTTCAAAGTAATCTACCGCCGAGATTCCAAAAACAGCAGGCCGAGAGAAGCAATGCCAGCGTTTCTGGGGCTCCCAATAACAGGCTGTCTCCCAGCGCTGAGCGCTCCCAGCCAGTTTCATTTTCTCAACAATATGACCCCAGTAGATGGGCTCATAACCATTCCAACTCATTGAGTATGTTTCATTCAGTGCTATAACCTTACGCTGTATTTTATGTGTGTGCTTGTATGTAACCTATTACAAGTAATTTCCACTTCTCCCAACAATTGCATCCAGAACAACCACCGTAATCTCCACCATACTTATCTGTAAAACCTTACTTCATGCATCATTGAAATTCTTTTTATTTGCCAATAATGCTTACTGGTATCGTAGATGCAACCCTCATCAACAGCTTATCCTACTTTTTTTCAGGGTACAATATTTCGAGCGGTTTTTATTTAATTTGGTGCTGCTTGTCGACACGATTTTTACACCTTGCACTTCTCATTCCCATGACTACTCTATTTAGAAATTTAGATGGCTGCTATATTTAAGTTGTCAAATATTCATATGTAATTGAGTTGGCTACATTCGAGAAGTTGAGTGATTAATTTTGATGAAGCTGAGGATTTGGCTGATTGAAAATTCATCCATCAAACTTCTTTACTGTTAATCCAATTCATTAAACAGTTAAATTAATTTTATCCAATGCTATGTATCTTTTTGTCTTTTTGAATAGGTAAATCTGTTCCACCGCGTCGGGTACGAGCAGATTCGGATGTATCTGGACCGCTCGACGATGACGTCAGACCAAGTCCACGTGGTCCGCCTCTACGCAGCTCCGATGATCGACACCGGCACCTGAGCCATCGCGGCAGGCAAGGATCTGACGGTTACTACGATGATTATCCACGTCGGGGTGGTGACCGCTACAAGGATTATGAATACGAAGATAGGCACGGAAGAGACGGTGGCAGCTGGGGTGATCATAGCGAGCGTCGTGGATACGATGACAAGCTTGATGGTCGAGACCTGAGAGAAGCAAGAGACCGAGATCTCAGAGATCGCGACTCAAGGGATTCGAGAGATATCAGAGATCTACGTGACAGAGATGCGAGGGATTTGCGCGACAGAGACTCGAGAGACGGAAGGGACTTGAGAGATCGAGATTCAAGAGATTCAAGAGATACTAGAGATACTAGAGATACAAGAGATTCAAGGGATTCAAGGGATTCCAGAGATTCCAGAGATTCAAGAGAATCAAGAGAATCAAGAGACACGAGAGATACAAGAGACATGAGGGACTTGAGAGACAGAGAACCAAGAGACCTCCGAGATCGAGACGTTAGAGAGTATAAGGTAAGTTTCTCGTTGAAAATGATAGCGAAGAAATAAAAATTCCAACATCAAACACGCTTATTGTTTGTTTAGAACCAAGACTCATTTGAAGACCAACCATCTCAGCATAGCCGCGAAATCACGAGCAGCGCTCCTGCTGGGCCCGAATGGCGCGAGGAGCAGCGACGTGGTGATCTCCGCTCGCACGACGAGCGACCTACGATCGACAGTAACCGTCGCAGCGGTGACGTGCCACGTTCCATCGACGATCAGCGGCCCCAGCGTCCAGACTCCCGTGACAGTCGTGCCTCTCGCGAATCCAGGACATCGCTGCGTGCCATCGACGACGACGGCTTCCACAAGTCGCCGCGCGATAGCATCACCACTGGCTCCTGGGCCAACGACTTTTCCGATTACGAAGAGTCCTCGTCCGTGAGCACGAAAAAGTCGCAACGCGATATTTTTCGCGAGGAGAACCGAGAGCGTGACCGCGATCGCATCAGAGGTCGGGACCGGGATGACGTACCGCTACCACCACGCGACCGCCGTCAACCGCCTGGCCCGATAACCAAAAGTAAACTTGATCAAGAGGAGCTGAAACGCGACGTCACCTCGCTAAAACGCTCTAGCCTTGACGAAAAGAAGGACAGCCCTAAAGACCTTGGCAACGAGAAGAAGGAAAGCGAGGCCTGGACCCGCAAGCCCGAGCGCACGCTCGAAAGTGGCAAGCGCGAGATTGACAGTTCGGTCGGCAAGTCTTCGTGGGCCGATGCCGTCTCACCTAGCTTTGAGAAGGAAGAAGAGGAGAAGCGTGCTCCCCTGGACTCGCAGCACGACGATGACAAGAAAAAAATCAGTGACCTCAAACAGAGTATCGAGAAGCTGAGCATCGACAGCAATAAGCGAGCCAGCAGCGATCTTGATCATGACGTTGACAAGGATGATCTGAAAGACGACAAGCGTGACAAGAACGCCCGTAACCGTGCCAGCAGCGGCAGTAGAAGCTCCCGTGGACCCCGTGGTAGCGAGCCGCGTGGATCAAGGCAGTGGGGAGGCGGAGGCAGCGGTGTTGCTGATCGTGCTGGAGGTGCCTTCGGCAGTGGGTATAACCAACGCTGGCGCGGTCCCGAGATTCCTGTCAGAGGACGCCGTTCCAGCGCCAGGTCTATGGGAGGAAGATCGGGCAAGGGCGCTGGTAACTACGAGCGCACCGATTCCGACGAACAGAGCGGCGAGGAGCTGATTTCTGGTACCAACGAGTCCGGAAAGGACGAGAGAAGACCAGTATCCGCCAGATCGCCCAAGCTGTCTGCTCCCAAGGGCGAAAAGGACGAGCGCAATCGCAGCGCCGCAATCTCGAGAAAAGACGAACAGTCTAGAGGCGGCTTGAGTCAAGCGGGAGCCGGAGGCTCGTCATCCGGAACGGGTGATTTCAATGCGCCACGAGGCGAGAAGAAGGGTGGAGGCGAGCGTGGTAGTGAGTACGATGTTCGCGGATCCGGACGATCAAATCGCGATGGCTTTGCCCCACTGGGCGAGCCGTCGCGTCGCGGTCGTGGTGGATTTCGCAATAATCGGGGAGCTCCTCCACCACCTGCCGTCGGGGGCACCGCCAGTGGGCGTATCGAGGGTTATGGGCCTCCCCCCAGCAAGAGCCCCTTTTCCTCGGAGAGATCAGACGATATCAAGCATCCGGGTGGAGTGCAGCAGCATTCCTCGACGCCCACACCCTCTGAGCACGAGGATGCAGGAAACGTCAACAGCCAGTCCGAGTCCACCGATGACAAGATTATCGCCAAACAGCAGGCACTTAATGCCGGAATTACTGGCAGGCATGCGAAATCGCCAAATCAGATGAACGCTAACCACGCTGGTGAAATGCTTAAAAAGAAGGATTCTAGGGCCAAGAGAACAAGGAGTGGCAGCAGAAGAGGCAGAGGAGGCAGAAACGCCGCCAACGCTCAAAATAAACTCAACAACGACGTTGGCAACGAGGATTGGGAGACTACCTCGGAGAACAGCGAGGAACACCCCGATGACAAGAAAGACGGTGGTCATGGGCTGCGATCCAAGCCTTTTGGTGGTCGAGGGGAGCGTCAAGGTGCCAACTCAATGGCCAACAACGCGCAGCACCCTAAAGAATCAAGAGAGCCACGAGGAAACAGAGGCGATCGAGGTGATCGTGGTGATCGAGGTGATCGAGGTGATCGAGGTGATCGAGGTGACCGAGGTGATCGGAATGATCGAGGGGACAAAGGCATCAAGTCCAATTTACAGTCCAACCGTGGATTGGGCTTGGAAAAGAGCCGCAACGTTCAAAATGCAGAACGAGGTGGAAACAAGGAAGGCTCCCAGCGTAATCACCACATAGGTAACATCCCTCCCCTGATGCAAAACTCTCAGGCTCAAAACGGCCGACCGAGAAGCCAAATCTCACTCAACAGCGGTCCAACATCGAACATCAAGTCTCTCATGAACAAGGAAACTACGGTCAACAGAATCGACGAGATCAAGCTGAACGATCCTACCCTGGTGAACCAGGCGCTGAACGATATTAATATCGGCAAGTCCTTGCCAAAGGACAAGCGTGGGTGCAATGCCGTTGACGTGGATGTCGACGGTAACTACGTGGGCGGAGATGATGGTGCAAACATGGGCGACGACAAGATCGACGCTGATGGATTCCAGGAAGTGCGCTCCAAGAAAAATGTCAAAGACTCGAGTCGTCAGCAACAACAGAGAGACGAGCAGTCTGGTTCGAAATCCGGACGCCGCGACCGTGACAAAGATCGCGTCGAACGCGACCGATCCAAATCCAAGGCAAACGGACCCCAGTCACAGCAGCAGGCATCAAACATCCCGCCACTGCTCGGTCAGCCCATCAGCCAACCCGGAACTGGCGTGCCGCCCAAGCAGTACGGCGGTGATCGCGACCGTGACCGTGACCGTGACCGTGAACGTGATCGTGAGCGTGATCGTGACCGCGACCGCGACCGAGCTGGTCGCCAGAAGCTCGCGCCCCGCTTCCAGAAGCAGAAACAACAGAAGCTCCTGCAACAGCAAGCTGTTGGTGGAATCGAGTCTGGGGAGTCCGGCGCTACTGGTAAGCCTCAAAACCAGCTAGCGAATGCAATTAAAGACGGCGCGGCCCCTCCTCCTCCTCCTACCGTCAATGCTTGGGATAAACCTTTCACAGGTGGATCCTCGAGCCGCTCGCCGCCTTCGCCCGCTGTCGCTGCAGCCTCGGCCGATGCGCAGCTGGTGTCAGGGCTCACGGTATCTGGACAGCAGCAACAGGCTGGCGCTGAGCACGAGGCATCTGGTCAGCCTGACTCGCAGCAGACGGTTGTGAGTCAGCGAAACTCTCCCAGCTGCAGCGAAAAACACCCCGGCAGCTCCAAACCCAAGGATTCGTGTACTGGCCCGGACAAGAACAGCAGCCAGGAGTCCACCAAGCCCGTGCAGACGCTCATCTTTGAAAACACCAACTTCTCCAAAAACAGCAAGACCAATGTCGGCTCGACTGGCGACATGGCCATCAAGTCCAAGTACTCCAACCACATCAAGACCCAGTCGAGGGACAAGCGCCCGAGTGACATCGAGGACGACGGTGCGCAGATGCAACAGCAGCAGGTTCTTTCGGCCGCCTTCTCCAGCAAGCCAAACGAGCTTATGAAGGAGAAGCTGCCACCCCAGCAGCAACAACAGCAGGAGCCTATCCAGATGCCGTTGTCCTTCAATAGCAAAGAGGACAACGTGGATATGAAGTTGGACTTTACATTCGATTCCGATCTGTCGCAGCTCACCGAGGATAAGAGCAAGAATCTGGGCATGCCTCGGTCGATGCACATCACCGCGGCTCAGAGCACCATCTCACCTTCAACAGCCGAGCTGAACATGAAAATCGCCTCGGTCAAGAAAGTCTGGGAAAATGCCCCGCCAATGCCTACTGTGGTGGAACATGAGGTCGATGGCAACGTCGTCAGCGCGGCTAATAGTTTCCCGCAAGCTTTCGAGAGCAATGAAGTTGACGACGGATATAGCCATCAGCAATACAACCAGGCTAATATGAAGGGTGAAATCGCCACTTCGACAAACGTGTGCAAGGTAATATGTTTGTTGCATAAAAATTTTTAATATTACACGTATGTAGATACATGGATGGCCAGGTGCTTGTTTTCTACACGCTTTCGTTTGATGAAAAGAATCCACCTTTTGTCACATCAATCACAATGATATTTATTCAATTGCAAACGCCGTTTTAATATTTCGAAATATCGCCGTAAAGTTTTTCGCCAACACAAAATTTTAATGCCTCGATGTTGTGTGATAATATAATACATAGAGTTTACAATATTTGCATAATTAACAGAGAAAGAGAGAGAAAAAAAGTTGCTTAACTAAAAACACGCTCATGTATCACGTACCATGCATGCCAATCATATTTTTGTCCAACTCCTTCATCGTTGAATTCAAAGAGATTTTATCAAATTTTCATCCGAAACAGTGTTTCGATTTGAAAATTCGTTGTCTCGAGTTTAACGCTGACAGCGGGTTGATTAATATAAAAATCAATATCGCTGTTCATTTGTCCCGTGTGGGAAAGACTCTGACTCTTTGCCTGATGCGCAGCTGGTTCCCCCGCAGGTGAAGCCGCAGCAACAGTCGTCGGGTGGCGGCGGTGCCCAGCCCGGCTCCTCGGTTCCCGGACCTAGTCCTATCGGACCCGGCCAGAGTCCTATCGGCCACCCACCGGCGAGCCTTCAGGGACCCCTTAGCCCTCCACCTTTCAATTCTACCGGCCAGCCCTCGCACATCAATTATCAGGTTAACATCGACGAGCGATTCTCGCGTTATACCTTTTCTTTTCTTGTTTTGTTTTGTTTTTTGTTGTTTTTTTGGTTTTTTTTTTTTTTTTCCATCCAAAGCTCTACATGTTTCCAACAACCATGCGTACGTTACCGCATGTACTTATGAGTTTAAACGTTTTATGCGCAGTACCCCGGCTCGCAAGCTGCAGCAGCACAGTACGGCAGTATGTCGGCTATTCCATCGCCACCAGCTGTTTTGTTTAACACCGGCTCGGGACAATTGCCCGCCCAGGCAGGTGGACTCTACGGCGCTTTCCAGTTGGACCAAAGCCGATCGCCTTTCTCACAGTATCCGCCTTACGCTGCTGCTTCCCTGCAAAGCTCCTTCAACCAGCAGAACATGTATCTCCAGCAGGCACCTCCGCCGCACGCTCCGAATGCACCAGCTGCTGATATTTATCAGAGCAACTTGTCGCAATATAGACTTGTATGTGTTTCTTTAAATTGCTATTCGCCATATTGAGGATTACTTTTATTGCCGACTATTGATTTCATTTTTTTTTCTTTTTTGATAGACCGCTGCCGCCGCCGCACCTCAATTTGGACAGAATCAACAGTTGAGCAATAATCCCAATACCGTACTTATTAGTTCGTCATCCAATTCCCTGATGTCGGCCAGTGTCAAGCCATCATCGCAACCAATCGGTGCTATAGGCACAAAGGCTCAACATTTCCAGGCACCATCGGCTCCACAACCAAATCAAGTATGTCATTGAAGTTGCATTAATTTTTTTTTTCTCGATCCAAAGCAGCCTGTTTTTGTTGTGACAATGCTAAGTTTGCATATATTCTTTTCAGGTGACATACATTCCGTACGACCCAAATCAGGTTTTGGGAGTAAGTGGTAGTTACATCAATAACTCGCAGCTCGTGCAGAGACCAGGACACAATGTCCAACCGTCAGCTAGCAGTTATTACAACGCTGCTTCTGCTGGTAAGATATCTTTTGAGATAAGATTTGAAAACGTTCGACATCTTTTGTCAATTCATACTTTATTTTTAATTTATTTTTCTCCACAGATGTATTTTCCGGCTCACAAACGGGGTTCTACCAAGGTGGTGCGACACAGCAGACCGGAGCTCACTACGGACTGCAGGGGTTTGGCCAACACAGCCAAAACCTGGCTACTGGTAACGCGGCTCCCGTCGGCTTGCAAAACTTTGGCTCGCAATTTTTGTCTGGCTCAGGACTGCAGTTGGCAGCTGCTGCTCAACAGTATCGCAATCCCACGGGTGGACTGCCGGGCCCAGCTAATGCAGCAGCCAATTTTTTAAATAAGCATCAACAGCAGGAACAACCCCGTCAACTTAAAAGCCCATCTGGAAATCAGCAGGACGTATTAGCCTCGGTCTTTAGCTCAAGTGAGTTTATTTCTTGGATCTAACCTGATTAATAAAACAAACTTTTTTGGGCCGATTTTTATAATTAAAATTTTTATTTTAGCATCCCCAAAATCAAGGAAACAGCAATCGTCATCGCAGCAGCCCCAACAAAATCAAACTCCACATCACAAATTTCAGCAATATCAGGGTGTCGGGCAATCCACTCTGGTAAGCAACTACAACACAAACTACGTAAGTATCTTTTTTTTATTTATTGACAATTCATTGATTAGTGCATTGTTCACTACCAACGACTTATTTGTCATTCGGATTGAAACAAGTAACAGTTCACTACTAACAATCTCATTCTTCTTTTTGATACAATACTGACCAAACAAACATTACAGCAACAGAATGTGCGTGGCATAGGAATGCCACCACGTGGTGGTATACAGCCGTCACAGCAGCGTTATCCGCCGCCGATTCAACGGCCTGTCGTACCTTTTCCACCGGGCCACAATCCCAACAACTCACAGCAGGGCCAGCAACAGCAGCAGCAGCAACAGCAAAATTGTATGCCCAATCAGCAGCAACAGTCGCAGATGAATCGTCACAGACCCAATATTCATCAGCAACAGCAACGCAACATGAAAATGCAGCAGCAGTACTATTCTGGACAAAGTGAGATCTAGTGACCTTTTTGTTCTCTTGCAATTACGAATCGTTTATTTGTAAGATTATTCTAATTTGATTAAATAAAGTTACTCAGTATTTATATTTCTAACTTTGTCGTTATTCTTTCAAAATTTTTACATTTTTCTCTTCTTGATTTAATTATTAATTGACCCTGTAAAATCATTGCTTTTGAAAATTCATCAGAGTAACGTATTCATAAATAAACGATTCAAAAGAATGGATAGTATATTTTTTGAGAAATTAAAAGTTAATCATTCTTAATTTAATGTCAACACAGGCAATGTAAAGATGGATCCTAATGACAAGGTGGATGCACACAACGATAAAATTTCTGACGGTAATGCCGGAAATCAGGTGGGTGGAAACAAGAATATTGTGAATCCCTCGGAAGGTGAAATCAAGGAAGAAGTAGCTGTTCAAAATGAATAAATAAATAAGCCGTTATTACAAGGCTTTTTATCTTGCGTTTAATCATACAAATAAATATAAATCTTCAATTATCGAAACAACACGATAATCAATTCTAAAATACATTACTGGACTCGACTGTAAAAAAAAAGAATTCTTGGATTTGAAAAAAATTCATCTTGCGTCTTGATGACAACGTTCGTGCATGTATGGAAAGTGGGCGATATCAATTGATTATTGCCTCATCTTAAACAAAGTAGATAACTTGAGAATACGCATACCGATTTTATTGATCGAATGCCCATAGAAAGTAACAATTATGTTGAACTTGAAAACGATAAAGGGAGTTAATTTTTTTTCGGTCGCTTGACGATACTAAACTGATGTTTTTACGTCGTTTCAAAATAATATTATAAAGCAGGCCGCCCCTCCCCCCTCTAACGTTTAAAAAAAAGACATTTCAAGTTTGCGGTTCATGCATGCAACGAAAAATCACAAACTTCATACCACCTGATGCAGTGAATATAAATTATCCTGCCTGGATATTGAAATGTGAAACAAAAAAATTCAACAACTTGGACGTTAATTTTTAGAATAACAAAAAAGCTATATAGCGATGCTAAACACTATTCAACAAGTTACGCGCGAAGCAACCTTAAATAAAAGAAAAAGTGCTTAAAGTGTATTTTTTTCTTTCTTTAAGCATGGAATGACTCCACAAGACTGTCTATTACTTTGTTTGTTGAGAGAAAAAAATGCACGCGTAAATAAATTGAACTTTAGAGTAAAAATCTGTGATGGGGTCGCTACTCTGTATGGCTTTGGACTAAAGATAGAAAAACAAAAAGTAATTATTCAACAGTATCATCGATAATTGACCTCACCCTTTGCACAGGTTACGATTTATATTTCACCATTTATAAAGCTGTGGAATCTTTCGAAGTACTAACTGACCATTATTGTTATTAGCATTTTTATCATTATTATTGCCAAAGCTGAAAAAAGTATATAGTCTACAAAAATAATGAAGTAAATAATTGTACATTTTTTCCGTTGTCGTTTTTTTTCAAATCATTGTTGTAATTATACAAAAATAATTAGTAAATGGCAAATTTTACATTCAATCATAACAAAATCCCATGATTGCACAGTTTTTATTGAATTGGGCATAAGCGACCGTACCATAGCCTTCGATAAAAATTCAAAACCAGCGCATCTGCATGTCGACTAGAGACTGTTTCCTTTTCTTTTCTCAAAGTATGACATATACTGCCAGTCGTTTCGGCGACATCTAATATGAATGTTTTTTCACAATAAATAATTATAATTGAGAAAAAAAAAAACATGAGAAAAGAAAATGGACGTCGCGGAGTCGTAATTTCTATTAATAAAAATATTTGAAATCTAAATATATATGTACCAGTGGTATCACACAGACATCACCGTTGTACGTCTTCATGTATGAATAATAATATAATAATAAAAAAAATCTTATTATTACCTGGACTTGTCAAACAAATACTGTGGATGGTATGGTATCATAGTAACCCGAAACGTGTATATGTAATGTGCGTGACATGAATATAAATCAGCTATGCTATGTTATATTTTAGCGGTTTGTGTGGTCGACGTCATTCGTATCGTTCTTGCAAGTAAAAAATATACGTGTATCGTCTTGCTCAATTGCATCGCGATCTCGAGTGAACGAGAAAGATAAAAAGTTAGCAGAAAATTTAGTTTGTTTTCATGCTATACTAGAAACTGTTATAAAATTATTGATGATAATCATTAAAAGAATTTTCTTCCTCATTTCTTTGCACGTTGACACATCGAGCGGACAAAAACTGTCCTTGCTTAAATGATGCAAAAACACGTAATCGATCCAAAACGCAGCAAAAAGATGGCAAAAGTTACTTGGTATTTAAGGAAATTATAAAATTGAACAAAAAAGTCTACCTAGTGTTTAGATGCGTCGTGTGGTGTAAGGTAATACACATGTATACTGCCTCTTTTTTCAGCTACAAGATAAATTGTATGTTCAAGGCACGTAAGACGGGCATCGGTGCCGGGGTCTGTTCTTTAATTTTCCTCCGTTTTCTTGTTTGTTTGTTTGTTTTCAATTAAATCAAAGACTGGCTAACTCTTGACAATGTTTGGTATTCGAAACAGCGAGCTTCATTTATCCAATAAACAATGTAAGCCGAGGGACAGAGCAAGTAATCTCTCGAGCTGCGAATCAATTTTTTTTTTTTTTTTTCTATTGTAACCTAATTTAATTTTATTGTTAAAAAACGTACAGTTAACGTGTCCAGTGATAATTGGCGGGAGGAAACAAAAGGGACGAGTTCACTCGACTCTCTGACCGAACGAATTGTCACTGAGACGTACAATACGTGTCCTGTAGATATTGTTTTACTCAAAAGACTGAACATTGCGTGTCCTTAAACGGTAAAAATAAAGCGATAAATAATAGGAGTAACAAATGTTTAATAATGTAAAATGAACCTATTTAGCCTACTATAGTCTTTGTTTACGTAAGTTATAATAAACGTGATGAACAGCCAGCGCGTCGAGAGATGCTCCGTTGATAAACGCCAAAAAAAAAGTAACAAATCGAAAACGGAAAAATATACGTCCGAGTTTCAGTGGAAAATAAGGAAGAACATTTAAAGGCGATAAAGACAGACCCTTGAGACCCACCCCCCTTCAGTGCCTGTGTATGACTTTTATCTGTGCCTCTGAGCTGCGTGCTTTACTTGAAAACATTTGCATTCTTTTTAATGATAATCGGATCAAATGTTAACAAATACGTACATGTACGAAAAAAAGCAGCAGTAAAGTTTTGTCGAGAAAATTGCTAAAGAACTCTACAATGCACACACACGCGCGCGCGTCAACACATCGGTACATGAAAATTAAGAAGAGCAAGCACCTTAAGACATTTTTATTTTTTCCTTTACTTAGCCAAGTCTCGACTAAACGTAATAAAACTAGAGGAGCAAAAGATAAGAAATAGATGTTTTTTTTTCTTCTTTTATTTTAATTAATTATTAGTAATAAAATAATAATCAGTATCGTTACATGTGGCGCGGGAACGTCGATGTGACTGTCGTTGCTCTCATTGTTTCAAATTCTAGCGCCGCTACTGTACACGGTCCTTCCTCTGTATCCATTTTACGTTTGTATTATTTGTAAAACTCTCTTACGTTATATATTGTTTCATCTTTACTTATAATATTTACTATACAATTACTGCTATTATTATATTACACATAAATATTGTATCTCTATTATTTTACTTTTTTTTTTTTTCTTTTTTTTTATATCTCTGCATCCGAAAAGTTTTTGTGTAAAGCGTAAACATACGTAAAGTTAGAGAGGAAAATCGCATGATTGTATAATTATAAAGATGAATTGAGAATGCGAGAATTAAATAAAGTTTATGGTCTGGAACGCGATGTGTAACATGTCGATGCAACAGTTTTATCAGTTTTTCGAGGTATAAACGATATACAGTTGGATCGATTTATAGATGAAGTGAAAAAAAAAAATTCTATTATTGGTTTTTTGTAAGACTTTCTTTTGATTGTGCACCATTTTTTTTTTTTTCACCTTAATATTCATTGTCATTATACTCTTATACTTTGTTATCAAAATTATTATGTCTCCTATTGGGACGAGAGGCAATAAATAAATTTAACAAATGAAAGTTTCAATTTGTGTGTGTTGATAAGAAGGGAAAAAAGTCTAGTTTATGGTTTAACACTGTAGATATTTATGTGGTAAACATTCGCGAGGTATTTTTCATGTACAAGAAAAATCAGTGTTGATTTAATAAATAATAAAGAAATTGTATCTGAATTGTGTAAAACAGATGAGGAAATGGTCTAAAAAAAAAAAAAAAAAAAAAAGGATAAATATGTGTAAGGATTTAAGAGAATAAGCATGCGTATATTAATAAAACTTCATCGAAAATAAATCAGTTTATCGTATCAATTATTTAGATTTAACGACAAATTTAAATAAAAGCAAAGCAAATCAACTACTGACGAATCCATAGAAATAAATATGCTGGTTTTTCATTCGAAAAACAATTTGTAATCCTCTCGTGTGATTCAAGCATTCAAGGCACTGCTGCTACTCTATAAATATCAATAATTCTTACTTAAAAAAAGGGGGATGAATACGTTACAATACGTAAGAGAAATAAAAAAAATTTGGCTTCAGGGTGAAAGTACTAGAAAAAGATCTCGAGCTTCTACGATAGACTTGGAATTTTCTTACTTATTGCAAATGAAAAGTTCAATTCGATTCAATAGTTGTTTTTTACTATAACAAATAAAACAAAATTCTTTTATAGAAAGAAACGGATATTCAATTATTTCAACCGAAAATTCAACTGACACCGCCACATCTTCTTAACTTTTGTTACATAAGCCGTGCATATACCAGCATTGTGGATGTTTGATCAAGTAGATCCGGGAAGAAATAAATATGCACAAAAAAGTTAGAACGATTAACTGCATTTGGAATAGAACCAAAGAAATGTCGATCAGGTGGAAGGAAGATGTAAAAAAAAAAAAAAAAAAAACAATAATTACTATTTCCGTTACTTTTCAATAAATGTCCGTCTATCGATTGTTTCCTTGAGATCAGATTTTTTTAGTTTAATAATTAAGTATTACCTTTTTCAATGTATATACGTAAATGTTCATAAAGATTTATTGATCTTAGACTAGATTAATTATTCGTTATAATATACCTTTTCATTTTTTTTTACTTAATAGTTCTAGTACTTGATAGTTGTTTTACTTGTAGTTTTTGAAAAATAGTTTAAAAATAATATTTTTATCGGTTAAGTAAAGAATGTATGTACTTTTTTTTTCATTATGAATAATTTTATTTTACCATTTAATTTTGCTGGTTTTCGTTCGACATTTGCCATAATTGACACAAAATTAAATGTGAAAAGTTGTTTCAAAATATTTTAATTAATATTTACACACAATATAATTGTGTTTTGATGTTTTTTTATAAATAATTAAGACAATTTCAAATCTCTTTTGAAATGAAAACTACCCCGCCGGTCACATGGAGCATATGCAATGTCCGCAATTCGCTCCGAGCCGATACAGAGGTTGCGCCCCCTCTAGCCAAAATCAGGCAACATTTCTTGCATGTAAGCAAACGGTTTAGAACATACATACATGCGTATAGCTGCTTGTGATTGGCTGAATAAGACAGCAGGAGAGGATCGTCGTTCTCTCTCTAGCTTGCCAAGTGCCAATCACAAGCAGCTGTACGTATGTATATATGTTCTAAACCGTTTGTTTACACGCAAGAAATGTTGCCTGATTTTGGCTAGAGGAGGCGCAACCTCTGTATCGGTTCGGAGCGAATAGTCACTTGAGCTCATATAACAATAAGAGTGAGATCCAATGGTCCAGTCCAGTTTAGTCTGGTAGAATCATCCAATCCTAGGCAGCCATTACCTACGCTTGTTTTTGCAAGAAAAACAGCGGGACTACGACATCATATCAAAAACAAATGAGTGATATTGGACCACGTGGTTAGTTTCTATACATATTGTATATATGTGTTTTTGAAGTTGATGTTGTCATTGTCAAGCCTCTTCTAACCTATAAAAACTACTTATTCATCATCACTTTTTTAAACATTATTGTAAATAGAATTTAGAGGTTATTTCAAGTGATTTCGGTACATAAACTGTAAATAAAACTATTTGATTGTTTGAGTAGACGAGGAATCATCAAATACAACGATTCATAAAATTTGACAAAGCTTTCACTGTGTTAGATGTCAAATTATCTTTACATTGAAAGGTAAGGTTACTTGTAGATATAGAAAATACGTTAAAAAATCGGAAAACCTCAAAGTTCCGGCTTTTATTAATACTTGCACGTTTTTTGTTTAGGTGGTCGTAGCCAAGTTACATTGTTTGTTGAAAAATGGACATTCCTAAGCCAAATTCAATTCAAACGGTTAACGTTGAAGATGAACTTCATCCAA